CCCCCCCCCCTTACCTCTTAAAATTGTACTAGCTCCTCTCGGCATACCCAGAGATCATGAGAGAAAACATGTCATGTGTTTGGGCCTCCCTGGGTTGCTTTAGGACCAATAGAGACCTTTTTTTCAAAGCCGGACAATGAACAGAAATTTACAAGAATATAAACCAGTAAGGAGGCATTTTAATTTAAAAATGGAAAATACTGCATTTGGGTGGTGGGGACACATTGAAGATTCAAAAACCGCCTGAAGGGCTATATGTAGTTTGCAGGCCACACTTTTTGATTCCTACTGTAGATAAAGTAAGAATGCAATTGAAGTGGCTGTACTTCGGCTTCATTACTTGTTTGTTATATATACATATGTGTACATCTCTCTTTATCACAGCCAACAGCAGCCTTTTGAAGTCAATTACAGTGACAGAAGGGGACTTTCACAAAATTGCACAGTGAGGTTTTTATGGTTCAGTGGAAGCTGTAACCTAAGTCTCGCAAGTCTTGTTCCAGCACTGTAGGTCCCACGCCGTGCCAGCTCCATATTACTTTTGGAAGCTTTTGCTCTGGTCTGTGTTTATGCATCAATGATATGACATGTGAGGTCACTAAGTCACCTTCTCTCAGCCTGACTTATCCAATGCACTTGTTGAGCATAAAACAAGATAAACGTCACATGTGCTTCCCTTAGTAGCCTGGAACGAAGGACATCTTTAAGCATTTCTACATGATTTTTCCTCTTTGTTTTCTCACCCATACAGATGAGCCACTGACAAGTTCACGAATGACAGGTCTGCAGGCAAGGGCCCACAACTTCACCCCTTCTGTCTGAGGATGAGCAAGCCGTTGAGCTTGCAGAACAGTGACCTGGAGCAGAGTCTTCCTGCCATTGCCTCCTCACTGTCGTACACTCAGGGCTTCTCTCCGCACCACTACTTCTCCCCTGAGAGAAGAAGGGCCATCTCTGATGTGAGGCGGACCTTCTGCCTTTTTGTGACTTTTGACCTGCTCTTCATCTCGCTTCTTTGGATTATTGAACTGAATGTGAGTTTGAAGAAACTGGAAATTGGATGCTGCCTTTGTCCTGAGAGTCTGCCTGAACAAACAGGGAAGCCAGAAGTGTCTGTCTCCCATTATTATAATAAAGTTGGAAGTGTTCTCTAGAAATCTTTAGGTGCTCCAGCAAACTGAGAAGAGGTTGACTGTACAGCCACGTTGGAGGACCTAGAGAGTTCTAGAGAGTAGATTGCAAACATATCTACAAATAATCAAATCAGCAAAACTGCAAATGTGGAGGAAATAATGTATTCAGAGCCTAGAATTAATGCAGAGAATAGCCATTCCTTGGCAGTATGCTAGGCTCCTTTATATTGTTGGCTGGTTCCTTGCCAGTCAGATACCAAAACTCGGTGGTTCTGTGTTGGCATATGCAGCACTATTCTCTATTTATAGCTGCTCATGAACTGGTGCTGCTTTGGCAAAAAAAATTGAAATGTATTATTTTTGGACTTCAAATTCCAGAATCCCTCTACCAGTATGACTAACAGCTAGTGGTTAATCTAGCTGGCGGATTCCTGCACTAGTTTTTTCTTAAACTTTTCTAATGTTGGCCAATTTGCACAATAGGTGCTGGAGCAGCAGCTGTCTTTCCCACTTGCAAAGGGGGGGGGGGGCTACAGAGCCATCAGAAATTTGGCAGCCTGCCCATTACCCATCCCTTTTTACACAATGGCTTATCATAGAATGAAAGAAAGGAGCCCTTTGTTTTCCTATTGGGAGTTTTTTTGCTTTGTTTCATTCTTGACTCCTTTCAACTTAAAACTGCTAGAGCAGAACTAGATGTAGTCAAGTTATTGATATCAGTTAAAATGGTCACAAAAAGCTGAGATAGGAATTGTGTGGGCCAGATGATCTGACTCAAGTAAATGTCTCAGTGTGCATGCTATAACGAGAGTTTCCCCTAAGAAGGCTAATTTGGTCAGCTATGCATCAGGAAAAACAGCTCAGTAACCAAACAATGCTATGTTTCTCCAGCAGTAGCAGCTGGTAGTAGTAATACAATCAGTGTAAATTGGGGTTAGCTACGTCTGTTGATCTAGGGTCATTTTTTGCCTCCCTTGATCCCCTACCATTGAAAAATTGCCCCTAAATGGCAGCTACAACCCCAAAACATGTGCCCTCCCCAACTGCAATTGATCATTGTCCCCAGACCCTTTTCAGGTCAAAAGTCACATTTTTTCATTTATTTCATATACACGTTATATACATAGTCTGAAGTTAATATTATGCACGATTTTTAAAAATCATTTTGCGCATAAAAACAAATTTGTGTACATTCAGCCACCAAAAGGCATAGGTGTCACTCTCTCAGTCACCCATGTGGGCGACTTTGGAGTATTTTGGATGTCAGGTTAGGGATACTCAATCTATGTGTAATAGAAATTTTGGAGTAATAGAAATATAACACTACGCAATACAATTGTCAAAGAAGTTATCCAGGCAGAAATACAAAACTAATGCTGTAAATATAAATCAAGTTGACAGACACGTATAAAAATATCCAAGATTGTAAAGCAGTATTAAAGAGAATTCCAAAAGCTTTGGAAGACATGAAAGGTTTAAAATGAGAATTAAAAACAAGAAAGGAAGGTGAGATCCACAGATGTTAAGGAAGGCAATTCTAGGAGTTATGAAAAAGAAAGTGAAAAGGAAATTACCCAATGCAAGGGTGGATGGGAATCCTAGAGTTTCTAGAATGTAGGTTCTGAACAGTCTGATAAAGAGAAATGAAGGCTCAAATATAGATGGAGCTAGGTTGTATAAGGTTTTAAAATTTAACGAAGAATTTTGCACTGAATCCTAAAAGGAATAGTCACCCAATGAAGAGATACCAAAATGAAATAACACTATTTTAAAAACCAAGTGGGCCAAAAAGATAATCTTAGCAGCAGAATGTTGAATGGAAACCAGATGGCTAAGATGACGTAGTAGCAGATCAGTCTAAACTAGATTTTAGTAATCAAGGCAGGAAATGACCAAGGCATGAACTAAAGTCTTTGAAGGGGACACAGATAAAAAAAGGCCGATTTTGATAATATTATAAAGAAAAAAGCTTGTGGTAATCTTATTAATTTATATGCCCAGTGTTCATTTTTGTTCTAGTAGCTCACTCCCTTTTCTTCATCGTCACTTCGTAATTTTCCTTTTCAAAATGCAATAGAAGTATTTAAAAAATTAAATGAACCAGGCATATCTATACCAGATGGCAAGACATGCTAGTTATGCAATGGGCATACCAGCTGTGATTACTGTATAGCCCAGAATAGTAAGATCCAATCTGCACATATGGTGAAGGCCAAACATATCTGTACTTACACTCTTCCCCACATAAACCAGCATTCACACTTACAATTGGGTTAGGAAAAGGATTGTTACTAGGATGTTTGAGGAACCTGGCTATCCCCAACCTTGTAGCACCAATCAACACCATCATTGTAGCCAATACTTTGGGGTAATGGAACTTGCCCAAAATAGTCCCATGTTGCCTGCTGATGTTGCTCAAGTGTATAAACCTCTGTGACAAGATCAACCTGAAAACTCATAGTTCTTGGGATCCTTGCAGAGGAGGTTTTGCATGTTCTTATGCCTCAGGCTGTCAAGGCTATAAATCGGTATTGTCTGACATCTAAATGCCTTTATTTCATAACCGTTTGTACTGGGGAACATACTTTGAGCACGCACAGATGCCCTTACTTTACATATACAGCCTGCTTATAACAGGAATAAGCTTTTATGCCAAAGAGAAGAATAAGCAACAGTGAAAAACAACAGCATTATGAGCAAAAGAAGCATTCTGTATTCTCCTTGTGGTTCAGTAGGAAAGAACTATGAGATAGAAATTGGCAGCTCCAATGCTCCTCAAAGGGGTGGAGAACTAAGGACTAGAATCCATACCTTCCTACTGTACAAAACAGGACACAGGAATAGACGGATTTGTGGAGCAGGGAAAGCACTTTATGGGTTATTTGCCAATCATCAATTTCTTTTTTTCCCTTGTATTTAAGTAGACATACATTTGCAATTGTTTGTTGCATACAGTGCAATACTTTCTATCTATTAATGTTCCATAATCATTTAGCTGATAATATATTTCTTTTAAGGGGTCACAGTCTACTAGCTAAATAATACATATAAAAATATCATAGACTCTTACATCTGCCTCCTCCTTGTCTACAATCTTATAGGATCCTCTATATACATTTTTAGTTTAATTTAACATTAAGATGTTGAATCATTGGTTGCCATTCATTAACAAAGTTATCTAATTGATCTCCTCTTAATAATACAGTTATTTTGTCCATTATCAGCATATCTGTAATATATTTTCCCATTCTTCTAAAGGAGGTATCTCTGGGGCTTTCCAATATCTAGCATATACTATTCGAGCTGCCTCTGTTGTGTAAAACAAAATTTTTCCAAATTTTATTTCTAATTCTTCATCGGGCATATTCAAAAGGTACATTTGAGGTATCATTTCAAAATTTGTGTTTAACATTTTTTCGAGATATACATGGATCTGTTTCCAGTATATATATTTTTATGTGTGGTACAATGTACCCTTTTCTTTCCCACATTTCCAACATTTGTTGGATCAATTATACATCTTAACTAGTCTCTCTGGAGAGAGATACCATTGCAGGTGCATTTTATAAACATTTTCCTTTAAATGTTGACATGCAGTGTATTTTATTCTTCCATGTCTTTTCCCACTGGGCCATTTTTATCTCTTGGCCTATATTTTGGGCCCATCTAACCAACCATCAATTTCAAGCTTAGAGGCAGCAGTTATCTTGTGAGTCCTTGTTTTAAACCCTTACTCAACTCGACCTGTCTCTCAAGGCTACTTGGGTGAGAAAGAGTTTTAAGATATCCTGGCCAAGTTAACTGTAGTATTGATGGAAAGCCTGGTTTTGCTGTTGCCCAGCCACACCATACTTCAAGATGCCTGTCATTTGGTCCAGCCATCTTTAACACATCCAGCCACACATCCTCTCTGCTCATGTAGTTCCTTAAGGGAATCATTTTCATCTATGCCTATTTTCCCCTGTATGTTTCAAAAACTGATTCTGCAGATGTTATACTGCTCTTAAAGGTGGTTTAGTGAAGACTATCTTGGCTCAGGCTCTTATTGAAGGGAAAGCTCACAGAGGTGGAACAACGCAAAAGTTGGTTAATGTACCTTTTAGATCACAGGTATTACATTTTGAAAGACATTTTTAAAATGAAGTTTATGGCATGAGGCACTATATACAATAACTCTTTGCTGCTATAAATCTGCTATGTAGATTTTATGGTGGGATTTTATTGTGACTGCACCTTGTCCATGCCTCATATGTCCAGTGTTTGTTTTAATGCACTTAACTGTTATGCTGGTCTTTGGTTTTATTGCATTTTCTGGGTGATAATGTAGGAGGGGAAGCAGGTAGGGAAATATATCATGAGTATGACCTGGTACTATTGCTAAAATGTTCTAGGTTTGGGAAAATGTGGTGGCAGAGGAGGTAGAATAGCCTGTGTACTGATCTCCCTTTTATGTTAGGCCTACTTTCCAATAGGTGAGTACTAAGCCTGTTTCACTATAATTATTCGAGACTCTCAATCTGGGCAAGGATTTCTGCGAGTTTTCATCTAACACACCAGGTTGGAGAAGAGCATGTTAGATTTTGGCGATTTGTCTCCTCGTCCAATCATTTTTGGAACATTTACTGGGCATTTCAGTGAATTATGCATTCTTTAAGGCTCCACTGCTGCATGCCAAGTTGGTGAATGGGCAGTACTCCAGGACTGGATGAATCAGATGTGCCCATCAGGCTTTTGGTATATCTGCAGCCTCATCTCAATAGGCAGAAAGAAGAGGTGCTCAAGTGAAGGCCTTCGATGCTTCTTGCTCTGAAGGAGTTCAACATTCAATCTGCAGTCCCCTTATCACATATAGCATAGGGTTTTGTGGCTGTCATGGTAACGATTGGCCTGTCTCCGCTTATATCCTGCCTGACATATGCAGCCTATTATACACTTAATTTGATTTTCTGTTCTGGGCTGGCAGATGGTGATCTGTGAGTAAAAGAGCCTCGTGCGGTTCCCTTGTCATGGGCAGATCTCAGCGAATGAGGTTAAGGTGGTTCTGTCAACAGACCAATTGATTTCTGAAATAGAGATGAACTGAATACAGACCCAATCTCTTCTGGCAAAGCTCACTGTCCTGACTTTAGGGCTTACCCAATGCCTTCAGTTTCAGAGGAGTTGGAGCAATGAAATGAATAGAATGGCAGCTAAAGTGCAAACAACATAAGATTTGAGCCACATGAGCCTGCATGTTGCATAAAATTAATGTTAGTGACATAGTCAACAGCCAGAGGTTTAGTTTAGTTTGGTAAATTTGGTGTATTTGTGCTCATTTAGGCCGCTTTTCTAACCTGGAATAAAACCACATTTCAACTTCTAGATTGCTCCATAGTTAGAAAAAGGCCTTCTTGTGGACTTAAAATAGTTGCAGAGGAAATATTTATTTATTTATTTGTTTAAAACTTTTCTATCCCGATCTTCTCTACCTCTGTAGAGGGACTCAGACCGGCTGAGAAATTGCCCTAAGCAAAAAGCAGGTAAATGTTTTGGTAGTAAAAGATCATTGTGCAGGCAGTTGCTTGAGGGCTTTGGGGCCTGAAAAACAACCTTGGGAGACATGCAGTCCACATCCACACTTTTCCCACATACAAAAAATATTTAGGATTTTTTAGAAGAGGCTCTCCTTCAAATGGCAAACAAAGTACTAAAGTGCCCTCGCCTATCAGTTTTCTGAATGAGTAACTGTGCAGTTGCAATAAGGACCTATACCTGAAAATGAGTGTTAGGACTTACCTAACCTTAAAGGCACCAGATCCCCTCTGACCTTGAAAGCTAAGCATGGCAAGTCCTTGTTAGTACTTGGAAGGGAGATAACTGACACATATGAAGTGGTCTGTTTCAGAGGAAGGAGCTAGCAAAACCATCTCTTGAGTACCCCTTGCCTAAGAAACCCCTATGAGATGCATGGGATTGCCATAAATTGACAGGCAACTTAAAGGCACACACACAAAAAAGTCCTCAGGCATAAAGTTTTCATTTTTCACAGCCCTCTAACATGTCTTTTAGTAGTTTTCCCTGCTTTCAGAATTGACTTCCCTTTCTAAATTTAAAAATAAAGAATCCAAAATTTTATTCTAAGTCAGTTTAAATCAGCCTTCTCCATATGTTGAATTACAGCTTCCGTTGTCCTTAACTAGCATGGCCATTGATCCCGCTGTCTGAAGATACAGGAGATGTAGTCAAATGCAGGTGGGTGGCACTGTGTAAGGACAGCGGATTTCAGAGCAGTGGATACCATGAAAGAGATACGTTTCCTGATTTCACAAAGTCACATGCAACATGGAAAAGCTTTAGATTAACTTTTGTTTAGCTGTTTTCCTTCTTCCTTAATGCTCTTGTTTCTAATCTTGCTTATTTACAGACTTCCCAGAGTATCAAGGACAGTTTAGAAAGAGAAATTGTTGAATACAACTTTAAAACATCCTTTTTTGACATATTTGTAAGTATTCTGATGAAAATGTATTGCATAGCAGTAGATTTCCCCCACCTTTTTGACCAGAGAGAAATGATGTTTCTGAAGGAGGTACAAGATCAGGAAGGTGTCATGTGGGTGGATGTAAAACTAAGCAATCAGTTGGTTTTTGTAAAACCCTTGGTCTTTCATTGCCATAGTTCTGTGAAGCTCTGAAAAAAAGTCTGTGTTTTTTATCATTGTGCTTGATTTATAAAGAATTTAAACTATTTTGTAACTTGGAAAACTTCACTGTTGTCTCTTTATGATCTTGTATTTTTTTATATAAGATCTTGGCTTTTTTTCGGTTCTCGCTGCTGCTTCTCGGATATGCCATCCTAAGACTCCGTCACTGGTGGGTGATAGCGGTAAGAGACTACCTGCCTTTGTCATTCGGTTACACCAAAAGAGACATTTGTAGCTATTAGAAAGATAGTTCTAGTGTTTTTTAATGGATTTTTCTCTTCTCTCCCCTCTTTTCTATTTCTTTAAGATTACTACACTCATATGTAGTGCCTTCCTGATACTGAAAGTTATCTTCTCAGAGGTAAGTTTGTGATAATGTAGCATCCAGTCGAATATTGGTGGTCAGTTTTGAAAAAACAAGTGTGGGATTTCATGTTGCAGCTATTAATATTAGCAAATGCTATATGTTCTAAAATAATTACACTGCAACTTGTTGGTTTGTGAGAATAGATGTGTGGTTACAGATGCTTTAAGTCTGTAAGCTATATGCAGAAGTAGTTTCCAAAAGGCACCAAATCCCCAAAATATTGGAATATGAGTTATAGGTGACAGCACTTGTTGGCTAGGAGTAGAATATTATCTACAGATCAAAACTATCAAAATGTTTCTTATCTCTTCAGCACGGTGCTTGAAAAATTGCATATTATAGCAAAAGAATGCACACCTTCAGCACATTTTTCTATTCCTGTAAAAAAATTTCAGATGGATTTGGTACCTTTTGGGCACAAACTCCACATATCAGTAGTGTTCTGAGTGCTTTTGGGGTGCCTAGTCCATCTTAAGTGATTTCTGTTACCGTATATACTCAATTATAAGCCGAGGCACCTAATTTTACCACAAAAACTGGGAAAACGTATTGACTCAAATATAAGCCGAGGGTGGGAAATGCAGCCACTCCTGCTCAATTTCAAAATAAAAATAGATACCAATAAAATTACATTAATTGAGGCCTCAGGAGGTTCAATGTTGTTTAATATTCACATAAAACTGGAATTTAAGACTGTCGAACTCTGATAAAACCATTATTCTAGCCTCCTTCAATGTAAATGTGCTTACATATCCTTCCAATCATAATAAAGAGAACAAAATAATAAATGTAATAATAACAATGATAAATAGTGTAAATAATAAATGTAATAAAAATAATAGAGTAAAATAATGTAAATGTAATAATATCCATAATAATAGAGTAAAATAATAAATGTGATAATAATAGAGTAAAATAATAAATGTAATAAAAATAATAATAGAGTAATAAAATAAATATAATAAAAATAATACTAATAACAGAGTAAAATAAATAACCTTGGTATATAAGCTGAGGGGGGCTTTTTCAGCTTAAAAAGGGGGCTGAAAAACTAGGCTTATACTTGAATATATACAGTAAGTTCTTTGTTAAATTTCTTCTTTTCCTCTCCAACAGCTGCTGAACAAAGGAGCTTTTGGCTACCTTCTGCCTATTGTTTCCTTTGTCCTTGCCTGGCTAGAAACATGGTTCCTAGATTTCAAAGTCTTGCCTCAAGAATCCGAGGAAGAACAATGTGAGTCTTGAGTGAACATGGATGAATCTCCCCTCTTGCCTGGCATTGAACAGTCTTACGTGTATAATGTGCTGTGTGTTGACAGGAAGAAAACACCTGGGACAGATTTACTGCTTTGAGAATTCTACAGGGGTTTCACAGACACCAGAAAATAGAAAACAAAATTGAAAAAAAAGAGAGTTGTTTAATGTTAAATGGCATTGTGTGTGTGTTTGCGCCTTGAGTGCTTTGTGAGCACCCCCCAAGTCCCTATTGGATATGGTGGTTTTGTATAAATAAATTATTATTATTATTATTATTATTATTATTATTATTATTATGTAAGCCCTAGAATACATTTTACTCCTGATCCCCCCCCCCCAACCAAAAAAAAAAAAAAGATAATGGGATAAGTATATTAGAACTAAGCAAGTACTTTAAAGCTGCTATTGAATTAGGAGCACAGTCCGGATTGCTTACGGGAGAAAAACATTAGATGCTTAATTGCTTTGTAGATATGATAGGTAAAGAGGCCATTGGTCTAGCGAGATAAAACATTTCAAACAGAAAGGCCGAGATAAGCAGCTTGGCCAGATCCCCTACAGGGCAGAGATAAGTAGCCCTTTCGGTGCAAAGGTGTTTGCTTGTCTTGAGCAGCAAGGAACTTTCCTCCTGTGTTACTGTCCAAATTCATCCTATATTAACTGGCTCTCTTTGGAGTTTGTTGTGCAGATTCGCGACAGCATGAGGTGCAGAAGGGGTTGAGGAGATGAAGAGAGGGCCAAGCGTACAAATGTTACTGCCTTTGAAGGCTAAAAGGCTGGAAATTTGTAGCATAAGTTTGGAGAAAATCACAAGGTTCTCTGTCCCCTTATCTATGTGTTTTGCATTCTTTTCGCCCACCAAAAGTGCATTCTGGTGTGAAATACCATTGTAGTTCAGTACATAGAACACACCGGAATGAAATAGGTATAGCTCTGCAGATGTTGAGCTGTAACTCTTGGCATTCCTTACTATTAGCTCTACTGGCTAGCACTACTACAAACAACTGCAGTCCAATATCTGAAGAGTTTCATAATACTCATATAGAGAGATCATGGGTTGAATTGGGAAGACCCAGACTGAAGACAGCCATCAACATCCCTGCAGGATCTTGGGCCATACAGTAGATTCATTGGTGGCAAAAGTAACTCTTTTGTATTACAACTTCCTGAAAGTCCTGCAACTAACTTGGCCATGTTAGCTGGGGCATTCTGAGAGCTGTTTTTTTAAAAAAGTAATGTTTCTAAATTGTGTGCTTGACCTAATAATAATAATAATAATAATAATAATAATAATAATAATAATCTTTATTTATATACCACCCTATCTCCCCTAGGGGACTCAGAGCGGTTTCCACATATGCAAAATAATACAAAAACATACAATATAAAACAAAAACATAGGCATAAACTGTTAACACAACATATACATTAAAATCAATTTAAACCAGTTCTGCTCTCTTCTTCATGCAATGTAAGCTGCCAGGGGTAAAGATTTCAACAAGGGGCCTGGACTATTTGGAACGGGCTGGGCCAAGGCTAGTGCAAGGTGAAAGGAAAAATGGGGCTGGCTGAATGCTACAGTGCAAGGATCAGTCTCAGCAATGACCCTATTAGGGGACCGGGGCCACTCAACTCCAGTGTCAATTAAAGGACTATAAAAATGTCTGGGCCGGAAGAAAAGGTGCTCTCATATGACAGGGAATTGGGGAATGGATGGGGTACAAGGCCAAGTCCTAACTGTTGGACCAAGGGCTTGAGACTTGAGACTAGTCATTATCGAAGGCCTGATGAAACCACCAAGTCGTCAAGTTCTTACAGAAACAAGTGAGGGATAGGGCCAGCCTTTTCTCCTTGGGGAGGGCATTCCAGAGGCAGAGGGCCACCACCGAGAAGGCCCTCTCCTTTGTCCCCACCAACCAGGCTTGTGACCTAACTTTTTAAGTATTGTAAGGATAAAATGCTTGACTATGGACAAGAGTATTTTACCCCAAGCTACCAGAAAAGGCCAAGAAAAATCCCTATCATTCCACCACAGATAGTAAGAGTTGTTTCGCAACTTGGCACCATAAAAAGTACACCACACTCTGATTCTGATGTTTTGCTCCAAATGTTAGAGTAGAAGTCTCCAAATCTTCCAGAATGCTGGCCAGTATCTTCATACAAACTACTCTTTGTTAAGAATCTATTAACTGCAGTTGTTGAGCCTGAAAGGCTGCCAAGTGAATCTATTTTCTCTCTCTGTACTATGCTTTCCTCTCAACACTGATAGATCTTGACTTCAAAATCCCAGTCAGAAGATGAGTTTTTGCCTTTCTCCAGCCCTTGTGCAGTCAACCGGGCTGTCGATCTGAGATCTTTCATTAAGCAAGGTTCCAAATTGGGCTTTGGCAACATCACAGTTGTTCCCAGTTTATATAGGAATGTGCAATTTCTGAGACTATAGCCTGTTTTCCTCAAGCATAGTTTTCCTCATTAAACTTTCCCACTTACAGGCTGAATGAGGGATGTAATGTAATTTTGAATAAAACCAACTCTATGTGCTGTTTTTTTTCCCCCCAGGGTACTTGGCAGCTCAGGCTGCTGTCGCACGTGGGCCACGTCTTTTCTCAGGTGCACTCTCTGATGGCCAGTTCTACTCTCCTCCAGAATCCGTAGCAGGTGACTGGTGTTTCTTCCTCTGGGGCAGGAGGGGGCGTACTAGCAAGCTTGCATATGGGTGTATTTGGCAATCGGTTGCTATAATTAAATACTGACAGGTCAGGAGACTGAATTAGTAGCCATTCCAAATATGAACAGAGTGAGGGCCCTTCCACACAGCTCTATAACCCAGAATATCAAGGCAGAAAATTCCACAATATCTGCTTTGAACTGGGATATCTGAGTCCACACCACCATATATTCCGGTTCAAAGCAGACAACGTGGGATTTTATTCAGCTATGTGGAAGGGGCCTGATATGAAAGCTGCAGATTTATTTATATGACATTATGGCTTTCTTCCTTGAACTGTAAAATAAGCCTGTTGTCATAGCTGATGTGAGAAAGCTCTCTTCTCTTGGTGAAATGATTAACAAAGAAACAGGCATAAATAATCAGCTAGTTTGCAAACCTCACAGACCTCACAATCTCTGAGGATGCCTGCCATAAATGTGGGTGAAATATCAGGAGAGAATGCTTCTGGAACATGGCAATACAACCTGGGAAACTCCCAGCAACACAATCATCAGCCCATTTGCCCTGTTTCTGCAGTACTCATGTGTCTTCCCTTTTTTCACCAGAGAGAAAGCAAAGGGTTACATCAGTCAACTGTTTTTGCAACATACTGGAGAGTTGAAGGAATATATTAATTAAAAGTTTTTTTTAAAGGCCCAAGTCCTTAAGTGTACAAGTAGCAGTCTTCTATATCCCCATGTGAAAGACAACAGCCTTCCAGCTGTTGCTGGGCTACTAATTCCATCCTATTCACCTTTGGCCACATTGCTGGGGCTTAGCAATCCAACTTCATTTGGCAAGCTTTACCTTCCCCACCTTTGCTCTGTGGGATTCAGCACTCTAATACCATATCTGTCCCCAGGAGAAGTGAATTTGAGTGAATAAGTTTGTGACATGTTTCTGCTTTAGTCAGTCAGTCTTTAAAAATCCTAAAATCTCCCATACTGCAAGGCTGCTGTTGTTTCTGAGTCCTTGCTCTGGCCTTCCCCTTTACTTTGGGGCAGTGACACATGCTGAAACAGCAGAGAACTGATTCCTCTGAGAGTGAGTAATTCCCTCTAACACTCAAAAACAAAATCAGCATTTGATAACCCTTACTGTGGAACAACTAGGGGAGCAGTAAATAGCTGCAATTCATTGTTGCCTAAAGATGATTTGAGTGGTCAAGAAGTCACAAGATTTCAGGAATAAGGAACTGCTGGAAGTTGTACTGAACTTTAGAATTCTAAAACCTATGCCGCTTGACTTTTACATTTTTCTCTGTTTTGTCTCCACCTACAGGATCAGATGATTCAGATGATGAACTTTTGGGTAAAAGGGCATTAACTGATGAGGTATGAATAATAATAATAATAATAATAATAATAATAATAATAATAATAATAATAATAATACTTTATTTATATACCGCTCTATCTCCCCGAGGGGACTCAGAGCGTTTCCCAGGTAACATCACAAAACATACAAAGTAAAACAACATAACCATAAGATTAACAAAACAATATAAGCATAAAAATTGTTGCCATAACACACATATATTAAAAGTAATCCTGCCTGTTCAAGGCAATTAAAAAATTTACAAGGCCTGGCCAAGATTTGTACAAGCCCAAAAATTCTAGGGCCCCCGGAAATTAAGTGCAATGCTATGGCAGGCAACAATAATATTAGGTACGGGTCTGTGGCTGTTCATTCCGGGGCCAATTAGAGGAAATAATCTGGATAATTGGTAGGAAGAATAAAGCCGTATTTGACAATGTGTAAGACTGAGTTAGAACTGGTCATTTTCAAATGCTTGTTGAAACCACTAGGTTTTCAGGTTCTTACAAAAGGCGGGGAGGGATGGGGCCTGTCTTATTTCCCTTGAAAGGGCGTTCCAGAGGCAGGGGGCCACCATCGAGAAGGCCCTCTCTCTCGTCCCCACCAACCGTGCTTGTGATGGAGGTGGGACTGAGAGGAGGGCCTCCCCGGAAAATCTTAGAGCTCGTGCCGGTTCATAGAAGGAGATGTGATTGCGGAGATAGGCTGGGCCCGAACCGTTTAAGACCCCTTATGTGTTTCCTTCCAATCAGGCTGCAATGCAGGACATCAAATATTGTTAGTCCTCAAAATAATTGGCTAAAAGTATTAGGGTCTTGAGCCCCAGTGGTCCAGCAGGTTAAACCGCTGAGTTGCTGAATTTGCTGCTTGAATCCAAAGAGCGGGGTGACCACCCATTGTTAGCCCCAGCTTCTGCCAGCCTAGCAGTTTGAAAACATGCAAATGTAAGTATATCAATATGTACCGCTTCTGTGGGAAGGTAATGGCGCTCCATGCAGTCATGCTGGCCACATGACCTTGGAGGCGTCTATGGACAATAGAGGTGAGCACCACCCCCCAGAGTCGACTTAATGTCATGGGGAAACCTTTTATTATGGTCTTGGTGTGAGAAAACAGAAGTGCAGATCCTTGGATATCTTTTGGAAATTAATCCTTTAACTTTGAACATCAGGCTGTGGGAACTGTGACCCTCCAGGTGTTACTGGGAGCCATCCCCATTCAGATTTACTCAGTATAGAGCTTTTTCTTTATATGAGGCTTAGGAGTGCTGTAACATGACCCTACTTCTGGGCATAGGAGAAGGCAAGAACTTGTTATTTTTTTCATTCTAAAATTGATAGTGAAAGAGATACATTCACACACTGTCCAAACAGACCAAATCACCACCATGACTTGAAGCCTCTCTTTTGATTGAAGTGAGGAATTCTGTAATATCACGTGAGATGTGAACCAGGAAATACCTAGGTAAAAATTTAGCTTAGTTGTACGAAAGGTAATGGTTTTCCCTTGACATTAAGTCTAGTCAAGTCCAACTTTGGGAGGTGGTGCTCATCTCCATTTCTAAGCTGAAGAGCTGCCATTGTCCGTAGACGCCGCCAAGGTTATGTGGCCGGAATGACTTCATGGAGCTCTGTTACCTTCCCATCGGAGCGGCACGTATTGATCTACTCACATTTGCATGTTTTCAAACTGCTAGGTTGGCAAAAGCTGTAGCTAACAGCGGGAGCTCACCCTGCTCCCCTCATTCAAGCAGCCAACCTTTCAGTCAGCAAGTTCAGCAACTCAGTGGTTTAACTGGCTGCAACACCGGGGACTTCTTTACAAACACATTAGGATATGTCAAGTGCCTGTTTCTCTGTTTCCACCTGTAATACAGGCGTAATATTGACTTGCCTTCATTAAATCAGGAGTATGTAATATGATATGCGGCATTTCAAACCTTACAAAATTTGCTGCATATATATAAAAATCAGGAGAGCTAGTGATAGCCAGTTTGAATGTTGGACTACAGTTCTAGAGGCCAGAAACTGAATTGCTCCCCAGAAATTCCTGTTATAAGGTCACCTCAGGGTCCCAATGAGTAAAAATGACTTGAAGGCACATAACAACAAAGTTGACTTAGTATATTGCAGCACCTTCAGTCTTTACTACAGACTCTTGTAGAACCTTTGAAATTAACAGAGAGAGCAAAAATCTATATAAGTAAAAATGTAATGTTCGTTTGCGGGATTAACATAACTCAAAAACCACTGGACGATTTGACACCAAGTTTGGACACAATACACCTATCTGGCCAACGAGTGACCATCACTCATAAAAAGAATGAAAAACACAGCAGAAAATGCTTAAAAACAAAACAAAAAAACCCAAAATATCCATTACAACGCATGCGCAAAACCATATATATATACAAACACACATTCACAAATTTACACATATATGCATTGACACACAAAACACATATATACAGATTGGGTCACAGCAACGCGTGGCTGGTGATGGCTAGTGTTAACATAAGCATGTACGGACTCACCAGTGATGAAGTGAGCTGGGATCCATGAAGTGGGCTTATGTTAGAAATTCATTTCTCTCTTTTAGTCTCAAATGTGATTTCTTTATTCCTTTTTTCACTTATGCAGACTATCATAGTTTTGTCTTCAAAAACATTCATGATAAAGCAGTTTTCGCTGTCCTTATTCCACTTTACCAGATGCATGGAGTGTATTCCTGGTTGAAGAGACAGCAAATATAAAGCAATGAGATTAAGGAAAAGAAGATGCAGAGAGTCCAGAAATCAGTAAATATTATATTAGCCATAGCCATCCACAAAACCCTTTGCTAATATTACTATTCTCTGAAATGCCTGTGCATTGATAATGAGAGGCCTGGCATGCAAACTATAGATCCAACATTTTTAAAACAGTTTATTTTAATTATGGTACATAACAAAACAACAAATCATAGCAGATATAGAACTATAATATTGATATATATATATATATATATATATATATATGCCTATCTACCTTAGTCAATCAAGCAGTTAATTCTGACATTGAGTACATATTATTATAAGTTGCTTAACTTAAAACATATCGATTTGCTAAGTTAACTACAGATTCAGCATTTATTTCCCTGTCCTCTGTGGCATCCAAGTTGATACTTACAAGTTGAAAATCTGCCCTGTTTGTGGATTCTGATAGTAATTAGATGTTGTTCATACTCCCTTCCTGTAATTAATAACTTTCGATAAGCCTGTCCAAGAGTTCTCTGGGTTTATAATTGAATTTAATTGCAGACATAATAACTCTGTATCCATTATTATACTTGCACACAAAGGATGAATGTTGCTTTCTGGACCAGACAACATCCAGGGAAAATCTCCATGGCTTCTTGTGATTTGTTTATCTGCATCCAGCCCTGGGCATAACTCTTTATAAAAATTATATAAATGTTTCAAAACCTCTGAAATTGTGTAGGAAAGTGATTGTTGCAGCTGAATCCTCAGTGCTATTACTCTCTTTGAAATCAGAGTCGTTGGCTTTGTAAAACAGGAGAAATATTCCTTGATTTGGTCAATTCTAGAAGACTGAAAAGTGTTCCCTGAAAAGTGTTGTCATCCTATTCGCCACGTGGGGGCAGTGTAATTCCATTGCAGTCTAAATTAGTGGCTGTAATCTTCCCAAAGTTGCTGCATTGGTGCTTTATCCCTGTATCATGAGTTGAGATGCCAATGTTGCCATTATTTGTGGGCTTGGCTATGTTCAGAAAGGGCCATTTTGTTTCTAGTGTCAAGAGCTTGAGTTGCATCTTTCTCTGTAGTCGTATCCTCCATTGTAGAAACAATGGGACATGTGTCAGGAAAGCACAATTTTGGTTCTGCAGACGTTTTAGTTTGAATCTGCATTATATGGTCACTGTAGACCAGGCATGGGCAAACTTGGCCCTTCTGGGTGTTTTGGATTACAACTTCCACAATTCCTAACAGCCTACCGGCTGTAGGAGTTGAAGTCCAAAACACCTGGAGGGACCAAGTTTGCCCGTGCCTTCTGGACCCATATCATGTAATTTAACTGGTTTGAACTGCGCTATATGGATCTGCACTGCATTATTTGGCAGTGTAGCTCCAGTTTTTAAGCATGGACAATGATAAAGGATTAGAGGACTCAAAAAGTTAAGAAACACCCAGGCAGGCAAATTTCCTTGGCATATATCAGGGGTCCTCAAACTAAGGCCCGGGGGCCAGATACGGCCCTCCAAGGTCATTTACCCTGCCCTCGCTCAGGGTCAATCTAAGTCTGAAATTACTTGAAAACACACAACACCAACAATCCTATCTCATCACCCAAAAGCAGGCCCACACTTCCCATTGAAATACCAATAAGTTTATATTTATTAAAATTGTTCTTCATTTTAATTATTGTATTGTTTTTAAGTGTTTTTTGCACTACAAAAAGATATGTGCAGTATGCATAGGAATTAATTCATTTTTTTTTTCAAATTATAATCCGGCCCTCCAACAGTTTGAAGGACTGTGACCTGGCCCTCTGTTTAAAAAGTTTGAGGACCCCTCATGAATCAAACAAAGCAGGCTACAGAGTCAAAAATACCCTGCTTAATACATATTCCCAATTAATAGTTTAGCTTTTTTTATAAAAAATACATAAACATTAGGTACTGCAGAAAGCAATCACATTTTTGGAAGAAGTATTGCAGCCTGTATGAGACAAAGGAATTGGTCCTTCTGTGCAACTTCTATAAATAAAGTATGTGTTAGGTTTTTCTTCTGTAGAGCACTGTTTTCTATTTTTGCAAACATAATCAATTACTTGACAAAGTTGTATGGCAAAGTAATGTTTCTTCCCCAAATAACTTTTGCTTAAAACCCTTTCTCCCATAAAGTTGCTTCCATTTGCATTGAGGACAATACTTTAGTAAACCTGCAGCAGTAACTTTTCTGTAAATGTTAACAAGCTTCACAGTACCACCACCCCTTCCCTGTCCTGCGAGAAAAAATGCAGTCTATGAAATCTGAGATATCAGAATATATTGGAATTGGGACTTGTGCAATGCTTAACTGTATGTCATGGTTTGTCCTAGGAGAGGGAATATGTTCGGCAAGGAAAGGTCGCAATGGAGGTGATGGATCAAATTTTAGCTCAGGAAGAGAACTGGACATTTGAGAAGTGCACTGTAAGTTTGTGATTCCTGGATGATTTAAGAATTAAAGTATTAATAAAGGCTGTCGAACCCAGAGAATGAGAGGGGTTGTTCCAATGTTTCTGAATGTCATTTGGCACACATTTATACCAAAACAACAACTTTATTTTTGCATCCCGCCTCCATCTTCCTGAAGAGACTTGGGGTGATTTACATGCGGACAAGCCTGAACAGACATAAATTAAAAACACAACGCAATAAATTTAAAAACAACATCATAATAACAGAAAACAATATAATAAAACAACCAATAGCCTGAACTGTAATAAATACTGAACACTCTAAAGATACGAAACCTCACCATGGGGTGAGAAATCCTCTCATGCCTGTTGTAGATGTCTCCCATAAGACAATGTTTAATTTTCAGAAGGAGGTAGCTGGTATGTTGTTTACTCCCCAACCCAATCCCACACTAAGATGATGATGATAATAATAATAACAACAATAAATAAATAAATAAAACTTTATTTATACCCCGCTCCATCTCCCCCAGGGGGACTTGGTGCGGCTTACATGAGGCCATGCCCAAAAATACAGTAACACAATATAACACAAAAGCATAACAAAACCAGAAATAAGATACATAAAATGCAAAACCAATATAATAAACGAACAGCTAAAGCAAATCAAACATTAAAACACAAAGGATTAGGCTGGGCAGGGCCGAAATCAATGATAATTTTTTTAAAAGATGATCTTCATGTTACAGATTATTTCTATTCCTAATCGTAAAGTGGATTCTGTATTGTACAAAGATGGCTTGAAAAGTTCCATGCACCTGATCCATGTTTTCCTCATATTTGGAGCTGGAAACCGAAACTTGTTCAGCTCTAGACAGGACCCGCTAAGGTTGCCTGGGTCCTGAAGTGGCACTGAGGAACTAGACTTTTGTGGGGACATTTTTTCATTTTCCAACCATTTCTTAATGGTATTTGCCAGTACCAGCTCAGGACACTTGTTTCACATCCTTAAACTTTAAATTGGAATGGGAGGAGGAAGTTGGTTCATGAAGCCCAAGAAGATATATGAAAGGTGAAAAGGAAAAATTGTGAAGAAGTTGGTGGTGTCTGATGATCCCATCCATCCATCAAATTTCACACTTGGCAGGATTTTGATTACAAAACCTATATAGGCTGAAACTATACCCCTGCATTTTAAAAAATGGGGGGGGGGGATCCTAAAACATAGGGAAATAGCCAGAATGTGGGAAGCACCATGATGCGAGGGCAACAAAAAAATATCAGTGTCACAAAATTTGACGACTTGGGAGGGCCTCATGCAGCCTCCACATTGCCAACCCATCCTATACATCTATAAGCAGCATAAGCCATTGTTTACATTGACACTTGGCAGGCAAATTAGAAGATTAGTATGGCATTGGGCAAACTCGAAGTCCAACCAAATCAATATCGGGGAAAGGTGATATAGCCCTGCATGTTTTCATTGAAATGATACTGAGAAGCTGCTGTGCTCTGCAGCACTCACATGCCTTCCATGTTTTTTCTTGCAGGAATTTGGTGACACAATTCACTCACTTGAAATGCCATACCATGGCAAGATTTTTATTCTCAAGGTAAGGTGCCGGGATGGCTTTTGCTTTTCTTCTACAGAGTTTGTCCTGAATCAAATGCCACAATTGTTTTTTATTCTTTCTCATCTCCTGTCACCTTAAGTGAGAAGAGTAGGTAATTGGGACAGACAGAATATGAAGAAAGGTCTAGAAGAAACGCTTTGTTTGGGTCTCTAGGTGAGGTAATGGTATGGGTGCGATGTTTGATGCTTGGTTCTTAACCAAATAGTGTTCTCCTCTTGTAAGAAAGTGATTTTGCTTCTTGCTGCCAGTTTATTGTCTGATCACTTTGTCCAGGGTGAGCAGGGTGTCTGAAAACATGTTAATTTGTCTCCATTTGAGACTCCCTCTCTTCTTGATGTCCAAGCTTTTGCTAGAGGGGTTTAAAATTAAGTTACTTTTTTATTACCGGGGGTGGACGGGGGTGGGGTGTCACTGTTGGAAAATTGTAGGCTACAAGCATGGGATATTTAACCAGGGCTTTTTGTTTATTTTCCATTGGCTTTGGTGAACTTCAGTCCCCTCTTGGGAATCTTATTCCTTGTTCTTTAAATTTATTTATTTATTTATTTATTTACTATGTTTGTATACTGCCTTTCTCAGTAGGCGACTCAAGGAGGTTTACAGTCGTCAACAATTCAATGCCCCAATATCATAAAATACAATTAAAAACATTAGCATATAATATAAAACCATAGCAAGATCAATAAAAACATACATCATCAGCGTCTCCTTGTTAAAACATTGTCCAGTCACATCATCCAGTTGTTCTGCTTTCCTATGTCTGTTAAACTGCATCTGCAAACGCTTGCTCAAAAAGCCAGGTCTTGACTTTTTCGGATTATTAAAAGGGAAGGGACCGATCTGATATCCCTAGGGAGGGCGTTCCATAGCCGAGGGGCCACCACTGAGAAGGCCCTGTCCCTCATCCCCGCCAGACGTATTTGTGACGAAGGCAGGATTGAGAGCAGGGCCTCCCCAGACAATCGTAAAATCCTAGATGGTTCATAAGAAGAGGTGCGTTCGGACAGGTAAATTGGGCCAGAACTGTTTAGGGCTTTATAGGCTAAAGCCAGCACTTTGAATTGTGCCCGGTAGCAAACTGGGAGCCAGTGGAGCTGGTGCAGCAGAGGAGTTGTGTGCTTCCTGAGCGTCTCTCCTGTTAGCAATCTGGCTGCCGACCGTTGACCGATTTCAAGGTTCCGGACAGTCTTCAAAGGCAACCCCACGTAGAGTGCGTTGCAGTAGTCTGTATGGGATGTAACCAGAGTGTGGATTACCGTGGCCAAGTCAGACTTCCCAAGGTATGGGCTCAGCTGGCGCACAAGTTTTAACTGTGCAAATGCTCCCCTGGTCCCCGCCGAAACCTGAGGTTCTAGGCTCAGCGATAAAAAAAACTATAAACCAGGTAAATATGGGCTTCCACAGTCATTATTCCCAACCACATGCTTCCAAGTAATAACAGTCCACTACATATGAAAGACACTTGATTGAAGTGTCTGTAAATCAGCCCTATAGAAGTGTTTAGACAGCGCTACTAAAAGATTTGTGGCATGAACAATGCTCCTTAATTTGCAGGCAGTTCTACAATGTCCTCCTGAGATCATCTACCAGGAGATGATCCTCCAGCCAGAGAAGATGGTCCTGTGGAATAAAACATTGTTGGCATGCCAGGTAAATAGTTCTAAACATCTCTTGCACGTTGATAAAGGTGCTACTGAATTCCTTTGTGTTTTCCTCAGCTAAAGTTAGCTTTGGCATGAGTTGACCCTAGCCTCCAACCATAACTTTTGTATGTGACTTCCATTTCTCTGAATTGTTATCTGCTAGAAAGGAAGTGCCGAGTTAAATTTAATTCTGTTTTGGAGATAATGGTTGGCACGCAAGGGCTTTTATTGCTGGTTCTTTATCTTTCCGTTTCTATTTACTTTCTTGAACAGCCTAGAAACTGCACGGGACTCATTGAATCAACGTATAAATGTTGTCTTGCTGTTGAATAGTCTAGTTGGAAATAGTGGTTGACTTTAAACCTTAACTCTTCTCACAGTGGCCAGACTAATGTCAATGGCCACTCACAAATAGCACATGAGTGCAGTAGGATGCTATTCCCATCTTCCAGCAATTGGTTTCACCAGTATATTGCCTCCAATACTGGAAATTAAACAATGACAGCAAAGACTATCAATGGCTAGTAGTTATTATGAGTATTTTTATATCATACTAGCCATCTCCTGCCACGCGTTGCTGTGGCTCGGTCTGGTGATCTGTAAAATAAAGTAATGAGAAAGTGTTGGTTTCTAATATATGTCATTTCTTTATGCTTGTGGGTAAACAGTATTTCTTGCTGTTTCTTTGTCAGTGTTGATGTGAAGATTGTCTGGTTTGCCTACTCTGGAACATGCAACACATAATTGTCCTTCTTGAGGGGTCCCTTTCAAATCTGTGATACTATATCTGTGTGTGTGTGAATCATATATATCCATCTATATCTATGGCTGGATGGCTCTTTGTCAGGAGGGCTTTGATTACGTTTTCTTGCCTTGATAAAGGGAGTTGGACTGGATGGTCTGAAGTATTTTCTGTTGGTCATGGGGTTTCTGTGTGGGAAGTTTGCTCCAATTTTGTCGTTGGTGGGGTTCAGACTGCTCTTTGATTGTAGGTGAACTATAMATCCCATTAACTACAACTCCCAAAGCTCAAGGTCTATTTACCCCAAACTCCACCTGTATTCATATGTGGGCATATGGAATATTTGTGCCAAGTTTGGTCCAGATCCATCATTGTTTGAGTCCACAGTGCTCTCTGGATGTCAACTCCCAAATTCAAGGTCAATGCCCATCAAACCCTTCTAGTGTTTTCTGTTGGTCATGGGAGTCCTGTGTGCCACTTTTGGTTCAATTCCATTGTTGGTGGAGTTCAGAATGCTCTTTGATTGTAGGTTAACTATTAATCCCAGCAACTACAACTCCCAAATGACAAACTCAATTTTTCTTGAGTGAAGGACATACATTGGGTTGTTAGGTGTATTGTGTCCAAATTTGGTGTCAATTCGTCCAGTAGTTTTTGAGTTATGTTAATTCCACAAACGAACATTACATTTTTATTTATATATATTATGGTATGAACTCATAATTACTACTAGTCATTGATAGTCTTAGCTATCATAGTTTAATTCCTTTTTAACGCGATCTGAGTTGGCAGCCACTACTGCTTCTTGTGACAATGAATTGTATAGTTTAATTCAGTCCTATGTAAGGAATTACTGCTGCCACTCAATAGAACTGAGTGGTGCAAGTTTCACCTCTGTTTTATTAGCCTTATTTTTCATGTTGTAAAGGGCTAAAACATGGTAAAAGGTCAAACAAAACGATTGAGGGCCCTATGATTAGTCCTCTGTCATTTTGGTTGACCTTTTCTTCACTTTTTGGGTATCCCTTTTGAGATGTGATGACCATTATTGTATACAGTATTCAACATGTGATCATACCTTAGGTTTATATAAAGGCATGGTTTTGGCAGTTTGCTGCCTGTTATTTAGCTTTGGCGAAGTTGAATACTTATGGAGGACAAATATTTGCCCTCATAGATGAAATAAAAGTGAAATGTGACAACGGTTTACAAATATAAATATTCTGATAGGTAAAAGCAATCCTCATTTTGACTTGTTTTTGGATTTCATTCTACACTCGTGAGTTCCTGCCAGTAGAAATCATTGCCTTCTGTATTGCTTAATTCAATTATAAAACTTCAGGTAACGTCTTAATCGAGCTTGCAAAATGTAACTTCTTTTAAATCAAACTTCACGTCTAATGGTAGCTGGTGAATCTGGGAATTGTAGTCCAGAAATGCACCCATGATTTACAAATGTCCTGATTTTTCCCCCTGTAACTGGATATCCTTTCAGTGAAGGTGATAGAAAATGACTGTCAGATCTCTGGCATCATCACAGATTTTGAATTTTTTGCATTCCACATTGGTTTTTTTTATCAGCAGAGACTATTTTTCTTTCCAGATCTTGCAACGGGTTGACGATAACACATCGATATCCTATGATGTGGCAGCTGGGGCCGCAGGCGGCGTTGTGTCACCCAGGTGAGTCCTCATTTCATTTGGACTACATCTCAAGCATGTTTCTCTCAGAATGAGGGGTTGATCTCTTTTTCTGTCCTCCAAGGGATTTCGTAAATGTGCGTCGGATTGAGAGAAGGAGAGATCGATACATTTCATCAGGAATGGCAACTATTCACAATTCACGTCCACCTACTTCCAAATACGTCCGGTATGTATCTGCATATTTTCATAATGTGTTTAAGTCGTCTTTTAGGCTATAGTACTCTTTTGTGGCAGCCCACAGGATAAAAACAAGACAGGAGACAGCCAGTGACAAGAATAAACTAGGCATCTCATTCAGGAAAAATAGAACCATAAAGAGTTGCAAATAATTCTGTCAATAGTCTGGAAAATTGAACTGTTAGTGCCTTTTTATAATGTAATATGAACAGAGGAGGTGCCCATAGCCATTCCGGAAGCCTACTAGCAGATCTCCAGTTTATATAAAGTAATTACCATAATGTTGAGTAAGTGAAACCCACCATCCCATTATCTGAGGCATTTTTCCTGACCTTGTTTAGTTTTAGTAGTAGTGTTGATCGGAGGGGGGGGGGGTGTTTGGAGCAATAGAATTGCACCAATAAAATAAAAAGAATATTGCAGTGCTTTTTCTGTGGGAGAAGAATGCTTGAGCAACAGAAAAGAGTAATACTAGGTTGAAATCAGTCTAGTTTATCCTCATATTGATCAAAATATGGGATCCTTGCTAAGCTGAATAAACTAACATTATTTACTCTCTTTTCACCATTATAAACTTCATTTTCTTGATTATTTGACTTTCCCCAAATATTGTATTATTATTTATTATTATACTACATTTATACCCCGCTCTTCTCACCCCAATGGGGGACTCAGGGCGGCTTACAGACCAAGGCATACAATGCCGTATTACATATATAATAATAAATATGATGTATCAATTTAAACAGTTAGCATATCAATTTAAACATACAGTAATAAACATAACATATCAATTAAACAATTCAAATATAAGTACAATAAAACAGCTTAAAAATAAACATTCAGTCCCAACCAAAGTGGGCTGATGGAATAAATGGCCAGGAGCAGCAGGCAAAAGGAGAGGTAGGGCAACCCCAAAAACGAACATGCACGCAGGTGTTCCAATGGCTGGGCGATGGGCAGTGTGGCCATTAAAGTAGCTGCGCGATGAGGCTGCGGGGACCATGGAGGCACTCTACGCAGGTGTTCCAGTGGCTGGGCGATGGGCAACATGGCCATTAAAGTAGCCACACTTGAAGGCTGCGGGGGCCGTGGAGGCACCCCGCGCAGGTGTTCCAATGGCCGGACAATGGGCGGGGTGGCTGTTAAAGTAGTCGCACAGCAAGGCTGTGGGGGCCGTTGAGGCACCCCGTGGAGGTTTTCCTGGTACCCTCAAAAAGTGTTGGGACAGCTCCCAGAATCCTCCAACTAGCCATGCTGAAAATCTCTTGATTGGGGAAGGTTGTCTTGTCTCATAATAAATTTCCTTTGTGCTTTTTGGTCACAAATTGTTTACTTTGAAAAGTGTGAAATTAATTATTCAGCTAAACTGCTGTTAAATTTATCTAAAATAGATGAGAAATCATTATAAATCTTTATAAAATGATTAGGCTAGGGTTTTTCAGATAGTATGTTCTATTTCCACATGTCCATAGCCAGAAACTGTTCATCACACAGAGGATCGAATGTTCATTTTCTTGAGTATTTCAGAATCAGATCTGGTGCAGTTGATTCAAACTACAAAAGCAGAGATGCCACCTAAACATTAGGGGAAAAACTTATGAAAGTAAGAGCTGTTCGGCAGTGAAATATTTGCTTGTGATGCAGCCTCTTTCTCTGGAGGTTTGTAAACAGAGGCTGGATGGCTATCTGTCAAAAGTGCTTTGTATTGTCAAAGGCTTTCATGGCCAGAATCACTGGGTTGTTGTAGGTTTTTTCGGGCTATATGGCCATGGTCTAGAGGCATTCTCTCCTGACATTTCGCCTGCATCTATGGCAAGCATCCTCAGAGGTAGTGAGGTGCTTTGATTGGGTATTCCTGCATGTCCCTTGTGACCTCTTCTATGATTCTAATATTCTTGTTTTGATGTGAGCATTCAATAAGCCTTGGTCCCAAAGAAGTAAGGGATTTTGGGTTATTCACCAAGGGCTACTTTTCAAAGAGATCTCTCTCCAGCAATGCCTATTTAGTATCTGGTCTCCTCTAGCTGCTATCTTGTGACAAGCTCAACTTCTGCCCTAGCATCTCCCAACAACAAGGTCTCTTTGTTGTTCTCAGAGCCTCTGCCTCAGGTGACTAGCCAGGGTGGGTCTTTGCTTACCATCTTCATTTTTCTGAGTAATAGCATTAAAAACTCATTGGCCTTTAGCTCACGGACTATTCAGCTTCTGGGAAAATCTGTAAGGAGGGCAGTGTCCTTTCTGTACATCAGAGCACATGATGAAATATAGTGTGTCTAGTCTCCTTGACTTTTTCAAGGAGACTGGATTGATAGCGTTTGAAATACTTGAGAAATGAGAATAAGTGTTTTGCATCGAACATCAGGAGTAGGAAACCAAATGCAGATAGCTCTTATCCCCAACTTGCTCCGAGAAGAATTTAGTTTACTCCTTTCTGTTCATAAGATATTCTCATTCTCCGCTATCGTGAAAAATTCCAACAGAAGGATGGGAAATTATTAAAGTTTCAGTACTTGTTTTTTGTACAAAACCAAATACAAACATAGTAAATAGTCACCGAATTGAAATTGTGAGCCAAGACATTCTTTTACCAGCCTCCATAGCATACACAGCCTTTTATAACTTCGAAAATTCTTTGTGCCCTGACCTCAATCCAATGTCCAATGTATCCATGACAATTCAATCCCCCTCATGTATGTGAGCCCTTCTCTAAATTTTTGCCCCTTCTTGGCAACCTGTTTTTTAAGGCTCTTCTTATGGTGGCACACCATAACAAACGTCTCAGACCCCTTCTACACTGCTATATAATCCAGATTATCAAATCAAATAATCCAGATTATCTGCTTTGAACTGGATTATATGAGTCTACACTGCCATATAATCCAGTTCAAAGCAGATAATCTGGATTTTATATGGCAGTGTAGATGGGGCCTTAGCTGGGTTTTAAGTAGGAGGAAGTTTGAGGTATCTGAACTTTTAATGTATAGTTCTAGAACAGTGTCACTACAAATACATTTGAAAATGCTCTCCCAGATGTATAAGGCAGGAGAATAGCATTTGTATTTTATATTTCCATTGATGTAATGTTTGTTGTATTGAGCCACAACTGTTAAAGATAGCAACCAAGATTTTGTGGTTAATGACCACTTTACTTAACTTTGTCCATCTCCTTGCTTCTGTTTTGACTTCCCTCTCACAATTTCTTCTGCTGTTGTCTTTTCCCAGAGCGGAAAATGGTCCTGGGGGTTTTGTTGCTTTGAAATGCCCCACTAATCCAAACATCTGCACTTTGTTCTGGATTCTCAATACAGACCTGAAGGTAATTTGTGCCCTTTTGTACTTTGGCTGAAGCAAAGAAAAAGTAGGACTTCAATCCAAAACATCAAAAGATCTTGTTAGGGTTCAGTAATAAGGTGGTGTTCTCTAACCATAAATACTTTATGAAATGTGGAGTGAGTGATATGCAGTTTGTGTCAAAAAAGTTCACTTTTATTTATTTATTTCATACACTTCTACCCCTGAGGGGGGGACTCACGGCAGCCTCACACAAGCACCGTACGATGCTGTCACCATATAAACAATCAACAAATACATTAAAACATTCAAACGATTCATTAAAACAATAGATTTTCTAAGAGAACATTATAATTTTATATGGGGGGGCTCCCATTTTAAATCAATTTTACCATTATAAAGAGCCCTTTTATAGTAGTAGTAGTAGTAGTAATAATAATAATAATAATAACAACAACAACAACAACAACACTCTGTTCTCACCCTGAAGGGGACTCAGGGTGGATCACAGTACATATACTTGGCAAACATTCAATGCTGTTTTGTATAAACAATACACAGACAGACAACAGAAGGAGGTGGTTTGTTTCGATTCAGTGTCCAGCGGTTTTTGATGCCATGGAAGGTTGGGCTTGAGTCCAGGGGGTGCTGTTGCTCTATCCTCTATGACGAAGAGCCGGCAGGACTTCCTCCTTCCTTTTGATCGCCCAGCATTTTCTGATCTTCTCTCTTTATGGCGTCATAAAACACCTCCCCTGCTTTTTAGCGGTACCTAATTTCTCTAATTACAGCTAAAGCTGTTTTCGAATTGCTTAGGTAAACAATGAGCTAGGGTGTTATTTGGCAGCTCACGCCAAACCCGGGGTTCGAACTTGCAACCATTTGGTTGATAGATCTTACAATTGCAGTAAAGATTCCCCCTTGACAGTAAGTCTACTCGTGTCCGTTTCTGGGGGGTAGTGCTCATCTTAATTTCTAAGCCGAAGACTCCGTAGACACCTCCAAGGTCATGTGGCAGGCATGACTGCATGGAGCGGCATTACCTTCCCACCGAAGCGGTACCTATTGATCTACTCACATTTGCATGTTTTCAAACTGCTAGGTTGGCAGAAGCTGGGACTAACAGCGTGAGCTCACCCTGCTCCCCAGATTTGAACTGCCGACTTTCAGTCAGCAAGTTCAGCAGCTGAGAAGTTTAACCCACTGCGCCACCAGGGTCTCAGTTCAGTACAGGTTCTTAATGTTTCTAAAACATGTCCCTCTTTCCATCCAGACCTCTCTGCTTCCTTTGTCCTTCTCTCTTGGTGCCTCTTATCTACTTCATTCCATTTCTCCACAACAATGTCCTATTTCCCTCCTCCTGCACTCTCCCTTCCTTCTCTCTAGGTCATAAAGTCCTCCTTTTGAACCTTCTCCTACTTCCATCTCCTCAATTTCCTATCTAAAATCTCTGTTGTGCTACTGTTTTGACTGGCAGCTAAGACACACACACACACACACACACACCCCTTCGCTTGCTAGAGTTCTCAAAGTCAGTCTGTGGTAGCTACAGTGTAAATGATATTTGGAAGCAGAGCATAAGAAGACATATCTCTGCCTTGAGGCCCTCAAAAACAGTTATAAGTCAAAGTATCCAGTACTAGGCTAAATAGACCAGTAGGTTCTTGTAAGATTCATATGAACACGAAGTTGCTTCTCTTGACTACTGCCTCTGTTTTTTTCTTGTAGGGTCGGCTCCCCCGGTACCTTATCAACCAAAGTTTGTCTGCTACCATGACAGAGTTTGTGTTCCACCTACGCAAACGGGTTATGGAGGTCATGACACGGTCTTAGCTTCTCAGCAGCTTGCTGTGACGTTGCCTTTTGAGCGTGCTCAAACAAGCCAACAAGGTCCAAAGAACTGGATTCTCTTTTCTTCCAACCGAGGAGGGAAGGTTGTATCTTACAGCTGATCTTGAGGGTTAAACTGAAGAGCTTTTGAATTGTCTTCAGGAGACTGACCAGTGAAAGGGATGGGAAGATGATCAAATGACAAGCAGAAGACAAAAGCACTGATGGTCCAAAGTCCAAATCAGTACAAATTAGAAGCATGAAGGAGGCTTCTTCAGGTGATGATCATAGCTAGCATTGCTACTAGAAGTCGAGCCATTTCTGGATTAAGATGTGCCAAATGCCTTCATGATCATGCTTCCAGAATCTGCTATGTACTTACCTCTCTAGTCCTATTTCTGCCTTTGTTCTGTCCTTGGAACCTCTGCCTCCCTGGACACGATCATGCGGTCCTTGCTGTGTTTTCATAACATTATTCAAATGCCTTCCATAACAAAAGAATTGCATCAAGTAATCCTTCACATTCAGTGTTTTGGCCTGGGTGCAAAGGTTGGAGGTTTACTTTCTGAGCCAGTTTTGTAGCCCGCTATTGTGTCAAAATGCCATCTTTCCTGAAGGGCTATCTGTTCAGCGTAGTTACCACTGCATCTTGGAGGATCAATTACCCAACCATGGGTATAGTTTTTTGGCTATATCCTTGAAGAGGAGACAATTGGAGGAAGGAATATCTGCTACCAGTGAAATACCTGGACTTCAAAGGGACATCAAGCTGATATCTGTCCTGATTGTATTGTTCAACTATGCTTTTTTTCTAATATCTCTTCTGTCCCATGCACAACAAAAACTGTGAAGTAAGTCCCTCCACCTAAAATGAGCCTTATACAGTGGCAACAGTCCCTGGAGTTCATAGTTATATTTTGTCAGAATTGTTTTGAAAACAAATGCCAACATCCACAATTTTAAGGCCCTTCTCTTTAGCCATAGTTTGTGTGTATGTATGAGTGTGTGTGAGCAGGCTTTCTTTTGGAGATTCTCATCTAATACCTTGTCTGGTTCTTCCTCTTGCCCTTCTTGTATCACCCATGGGAGCGTCATACAACTGTGTGGAGTGTACTTAGGACAGAGCTATAAGCAAAGCAAGTGTTCAGAAGGCAGTTTAGACCCTCCTTTTGCCCCCCACTCCTGCCAAAACAACCTAAATTGCCCTCATCTGCTGCTTGAACTGTTGGTACATTTATTTCCCATCTGAAAAATTGCACTGTCCAACAAATACGTTTGCAAATCCAGCAAAGTTGAATTTTGACGTCTTGTTTCTCTGTCCAACCCTAATCTTATTACTGGGTAGATAGATCATAATGTGATGGTGCAAGGGCTGTAGGAGAAATCTCTGCATATCTTTGTGTGTCAAACTCTTACTCTAAACCCTACCTTTTTAAAGGTTGCTAGAAATTTGCAACCTTTAAAAAGGTAGGGTTTAGAGTAAGAGTTTTGGTTTGTGAAGGGGGAGAGAGAGAAAAATTCAGACAGCAGTGTAATGCTTGGTTTTAATACGTGCAATATCCCTGACACACCAAACTAATCTATTGTATCTGCACATGAGCAAAGGCTGTGAACATGGGAATGGGAAGCCAGGGATGACTTTGGTTTAGCTGGTTAGCCATCTGAGGGGCTTCCTAAACTAGATACGATTTAAAATGTCACTCAAATTCAGATATACATTTTAAACTTCAGAATTTTAACTGTGCTTCCGCTTAAGTGCATTTCAAGACCACGAGGCTAGTCCTAAGTCAGAAAGTTGTAAGAAGGCAGATTCATTAGGTGAGGTATGATGAGCTTCCTCAAAGCAAGGCCACCATCAAGCCTACCAGATTTCCCCAGCAAGCTTTAGGGCTTACTCAGGATCCTTTATTTTGCACTCTACTATCTCTCCCCCAGTCCTGGAAATCTCTGACCCCGTCCTTTATTATTTGTGTGGGACAGTTGTAATTGCACCCTATGTAGAGTGAGGCTTGTAGCTACGACATTTCCCCCCCATCTGTTAGTCTGGCCTTGCCCAGCATGGCAAAAGGTGTAAGACATGGTGATGACCTTCCAATCATGGAAAATACAACGAGAAGTTCCCTACTCAGATCAATGTCTTCAAACTATTCACCTTCAAGCCTTTATTATTCTTCTTTTTTTGCCGCCATGAGAGACTTGCAGGAGATCCCATTCTGGAATCGCCTTGGGTGGTCTGTAAGCGTTCCAGACTGACTGTGAAAAGGAACTTGCGAACTTTGTGACTCTTAACTTTTCCTTGACATGCGTGGGGAGTGGATCTCCCCGTTTCATTTGAAAAGCCACTTGAATAACACATATGCCTTTTGCATCAAATCTTTGTGACTTAATCTAATAAAATCTAATAAGAAAAACCTCCGTGGCTTGATGTATGTGTCCATTTAAGATGATTCCTCCATTTTCTTCACTTGTAAGGCCCAGTTTTTAAAAAGCAGTCCAACAAAACATAGTAGGATGGGGGAAAGCACTATTTTACAGTCTTCACTGCAGCTCCAATTCTACCAGAGTAACTTCTGCTTCTCTGCAGATACTGGGTGTGGCAGCAGATTCACTCTGGATTTTACTGCTAGTATTCGTACAGCAGCTCTGAATTGAATGTCAATATTGGACCTTAGTTCTCCTGGCCTCCCTTTGCTTTTACACTGTTGATGGCTCTTTACAAACAATCCTAAACCTACCACCCTGTAAGTCCATGTGTGTTTATTGACTCGCTGCTATGGAAACATGCTGAATGATATCAAACTAGTATTACCTTGATTATTAGAATAATTACGATGTAGTGGTTTGAATCTCAGAGAGGCACAGGGTGACCTTAGGCCACACTCAATTTTAGTGGAATTCCATGATAAACTTCCTCATGATGAAACTTGCCAAGAAAATCTTATGATAGAGTTGCCATAAGTCAAAGTCAGCTTGAAGGCATGTAACAACAATACACATCTGGGTTATGCTACTCCTTCAGCAACCCTGTGGCTTGACACAGCACCTTGTGATACCTGTAAAGACTTGTAAACGTATTATAAAGTTTCATGAAGTGAACCCCTTAATAAACATGTACTATGAGTAACCAAATTCTGACATTAACTTTATCCGCCCTGACCAGAGGAAAACCGATGGGAGTTGTGTTCATTTAGAGAGTCACATGTTCCCTACCCACAAGATTCTGTTCTTTTTATGTGAATACCTCTGTGAGTGCAGGTTGGATTTGTAGATTATCAGGAAGCTTGCTGCTAGTTTTGACTCGTGTGCCAGTTATAGCCTTTCTTGTATGGAGATAACATGACCATAGTGGTCCATGCTTTGGTCCTGACTAGGTTACTTTAATGTTCTGTATGTGGATCTGCCCATGAAGAAGACTGAAGCTACAGCTGGTATGAAATGCAACTACAGATTGAACTGGCTGACAATACATTTCCAGTCTTAAGTTCAAGAGGCTTGTAATGACAGCTATAGCCTTGAAAGGTCTTAATATTTGAGGAAGCACCTGCCCAAAGATTAAGATCTGGGGGGCCAACCTCCATGTCCCATCAGTGAGATCAGTGGTACATAGGAGAAGGCTTTCTCAGACATAGCATCCCAATCGTAGTATCTTTTTTCCCCTGGAGGCACAACTGTTGTCAAGACTAAACCAGTGGTTCTCAACCTGTGGGTTCCCAGATGTTTGGCCTTCAACTCCCAGAAATCCTAACAGTTAGTAAACTAGCTGAGATTTCTGGGAGTTGTAGGCCAAAACACCTGGGGACCCACAGGTTGAGAACCACTCAAACTTCCCTGTTCCATCAAAGCCTTTGGCTCTCATGAACTCAACCCAAAGACTTGTGCATAATTTTTAGAACTTTTTTTACAAAATGTTTTGAATTTATTTTGATTTTTAGACTGATCATAGAGTTGGAAGAGTCTGCATGGGCCATCTAGTCCAACCTGCCATGGTGGAAAAACACAAAGTACCCCTGACAGTTGGCCATTCTGTCTCTTTTTAAAAGCCTCCAAAGAAGAAGCCTTCATCACACTCCGAGTCAAAGAGTTCCACAGTTTAACAGCTCTTACGATTAGGAAGTTCTTCCTAAGGTTCAAATGGAATCTCCTTTCCTGTAATTCGAACTCATTGCTCTGAGTCCTAGTCTTCAAAGCAGCAGAATACCATGGGGTGCCAATTTGTTAGCCGTCCTGAGTCCCTCTGCGGAGGTTGAGAGAGGACAGGATATACAAGCTCTAAATAAATAAATAAATAAAGTCCACTCCCTCTTCCTTATGGCAGCCTTTCAAATATGTATACGTGTCTATCATGTCTCCTTTAATGTTATTGTAATCCACCCTGAGATCTCTTAAGGTAGTGTGGAATATAAATATTTTAATTAAAATACAAATAAATTGATTTAAAATAATTTAGTGCAGTGTTCCTTCCATTTAAAAACTTTCCACTCGGCAAACGGTAGCATTAGCAGAGTGGCAACAGCATTTTGACCTCCTATGAAGACTGCAGCATAGAATTTCTGCTCTTTACTAAAGTATGCCACTCCTGTGAGTGAGATCACACTGAATTTATAGCTGAGTGGCTGTAAACATGATCTGAAAAGAGGAGGAGGACAGGATGAGCCTATGGACACTTTATTGAACATGGATGAAATGAGGTACATACCTCAGCTGTTGCAAAACAGCAGCGAATAATTGCTTAACTTGTTATTAGTACTGTTTTGTAAATTTTGTTTCAGGAATCAGAACTGGATTAACCCATAAGCACTGTTGTTAGAAGCAATGTTAGGTAACCTGCTGACCTTTAGAAGTTTTGGACAGCAATGCCGACAAATCCTGTCCCAGGCAGACACATCATCAAAAGGCATGTAGTCCAAAACAACTGCTGGCTCAGATCTTAGGGTTCTTGTAGACCAGTGGTTCCCAACCTTTGATCTTCAAGGTGTTTTGGACTTCAACTCCCAGAAATCCCAGACCAGTGTTAGGTGTTGTGGGAGCTAAAGTCCAGAACCCCTGAAGGACCAAAAGTTGGGAACCACTGTTGTAGACCAAGCACGGAGAGCACTTATCTGCTTATTCTTGATCTGAAATTTCCCGTTTCAGCTGCCATTCTCCTTACACAAACCCCTCTTCCAAAGAAGAGGATCCCAGACACTTGGGTATTAGGCCATTATCTGTGCTGTTATTTGAAAATGTAAGGGTTTTTTTTTAGTCCATGGGTTCATCTATGAAAATAGAATTAATGCAGTTTGATACTGCTTTAGCTTTCAGAGCTCAAAGCTCTGAAACGATGGGAGTTTCTACCATGTAGATTCACCCTGTATTCCCACAGTCCCATGGCTTCTATTTATTCCGTCTGAGGGATTTTGAATTTGAGCTTCCAAAATATAAATTAATTCTATTTTAATATTTGTATATTTTAAAATGATATTGAAATGCTTTTAATGTAAGCCATTTTGAGTCTCCTTTGTGGAGAAAAAAAGTGGGATATAAATAAACATAATAATAATAATAATAATAATAATAATAATAATAATAATAATAATAATAATTGTTTACAAATTAGGTTTTGGATTACTTAATCTTTATTAATGACTTAGATGAAGGGTTAGAAGGCAAGATCATCAAGTTTGCAGATGACACCAAATTGGGAGGGATAGCCAATACTCCAGAAGACAGGAGCAGAATTCAAAACGATCTTGACAGATTAGAGAGATGGGTCAAAACTAACAAAGTGAAGATCAACAGGTACAAATGCAAGATACTCCACTTAGGCAGAAAAAATGAAATACAAAGATACAGAATGAGGGATGCCTGGCTCGAGAGCAGTACGTGTGAAAAAGATATTGGAGTCCTTGTGGACAAGTTAAACACGAGCCAACAGGGCCATAGCCAGAAAAAAATTTCGGGAGGGGTTGAAAATTTTGCAGGGGGGGGGGTTGAAAATTTTGCTGGGGGGGGGTTGAAAATTTTGTGTGTGGGGGGGGGGGTCTGAAACCTGCCTCCTAGCTCACGCTGAAGCAAAGAGCACATCAGGGGGCAGAGAACCTTCAATAGCCTGCAGCTCCGTCCCTGTCAACCACCTCCACCAAGTCTGGCCTCCTTAATGAGAGCATTCACACACACACCCAACTTAGTTGCTTCGCTACATTGGCTATTGCTGTAAGTAATGACAGTGTGAATAAATTGTCAATATTTGCTTGAGATAGTGCTTGCAGTTCTGGAGGGAGTCTTAATTTTTTGCATCTCATAGACTTAGCATGGGGATTTGGTTAACCAGTTAAAATTCATGAGTAAACCAGGTTTTTAAAAAAAATCTGAAACATTTCGGGGGGGGTTGAACCCCTTGGAGTCCTCGTGGACAAGTTAAACATGAGCCAACAATGTGATGTGGAGCTAAAAAAGTAAATGGGGATTTGGCCTGCATAAATAGGAGTATAGTGTCTAGATCCAGGGAAGTCATGCTACCCCCCTATTCTGCCCTGGTTAGACCACATCTGGAGTACTGTGTCCAATTCTGGGCACCGCAGTTGAAGGGAGATGTTGACAAGATGGAATGTGTCCAGAGAAGGGAGACTCAATTATTATGGGTCTGGAGAACAAGCCCTATGAAGAGTGGCTTAAAGAGTTGGGCATGCTTAGCCTGCAGAAGAGAAGGCTGAGAGGAGGCATGATGGTCATGTATAAATACGTGAGGGAAGTCATAGCGAAGAGGAACCAGGTTTATTTTCTGCTGCTCTGGAGACTAGGACGTGGAACAATGGCTTCAAACTACAGGAAAGAAGATTCCACCTGAACATGAGGAAGAACTTCCTAACCGTGAGAGCTGTTCAGCAGTGGAACTCTCTGCCCTGGAGTGTGGAGGAGTCTCCTTCTTTGGAGGCTTTTAAGTAGAGGCTGGGTGACCATCTGTTGGGGGTGCTTTGAATGCGATTTTCCTGCTTCTTGGCAGGGGGTTGGACTGGATGGCCCATGAGTCTCTTCCAACTCTATGATTCTATGAATCTTACAAAAGTGGCTGTATTAAAATGAGCCAGTCCTTTTATACAACTCTGAAATGTACAGAAGAAGGATAACATATACATGATGTGGCCTATTTTTTTTCTAACAAATTTGCAGAACTTCCAGTAAACAATACAGAATAGAGGGGAAACTTCATTCTCCTGTCCTTTCACACACTTTTCCCCCTTCATTGGGTTTTGCACTACCTCCCAATGTGCCTTTAATCCTATGCTCTTTCCCTCCCCTTGAAATTAAGAAGAAGAAAACAAGTCTACTTTTCATTCTATATAAATGGCAAGGCCGCAGTGTACTGTTTTAGGCTGCCCATTGTGTTTCAACGCCTTTAGCGATGGAAGAACTATCTCACATGATAGCTACTTATGACCTGTAGATACGTCTGAAAAGAGAAATTTCAAACTCTGCCTCTTTTTTGAGCCTAGTTCTTTTGGATTAGCATCTGCCTTGGCAATCTCCCCCACTCCCATACCATATTTATTTCATTTATTACATTTTGATATGCTAGTCACAGGGATATCTTAAGACCTGCCAAGATTTGCAGAGCAGAGTCAGAGATGGATTTCTGGTGCAGAGTTTGCTGTTGCTGCTGCTATAATGAAGAAGAACTGGAGAAGAATCCACTGGTGGTTGCTGGGTATGTGATCCATCAAATTGCCATCTCTCTGTGTTATGCTGATCCTCCATGCCTCGAGATTGGGTAACATGTTATGCAATAGCATATATTTGTATGCCTTCACATGTAACTTTGCTCTAACTTTCAAAATGGAATTATAAGGTACCTTTAGGACCTATCAGTGTTGAAGGACAAGAAGGATGAAGAGATATTGGGAAGGAAGGAAGATTATGTCTAGCGCAAGCAGTGTGAGACTCTCTTTGTAGGATGCTGGCCACCTCATCCTGGTTCATTCTACAGTAGACATACCTGTAGCCAGGATTTTGATTCGGGGAGGGGGGGTTGAGTCTGAGCGAAAGAGGGTCTACCCTAGCAAACCTTTTGTATCGTTACCCCAATACCCCCATGCTTATGGGATATATTGATTATGGTGATCAGATCATGATATGAATAAACATAACAGTTTAAATAATGCACCAGTAAGGCCTTTGCGCGAACCACCATGAGAATTTCGGGGAGGGGGCTGAAGCCCCTCAAGCCCCCCCCCATAACTCCAAATTACAGTAGAGTCTCGCTTATCCAACATAAACGGGCTGGCAGAACGTTGGATAAGCAAAAATGTTGGATAATAAGGAGGGGTTAAGGAAAAGCCTATTAAATGTCAAATTACGTTATGATTTTACAAATTAAGCACCAAAACATCATGTTTTACAACAAATCGACAGAAAAAGCAATTCAATAAATGGTAATGTTATGTAGTAATTGCTGTATTTACGAATTTAGGACCAAAACATAGCAATGTATTGAAACAGATGTGATCCGGGCGGGAGTCAGATTGCCTTTGATAATACAGAATGTTGGATGAGTGAAGGTTGGATACGCGAGACTCTACTGTACTTTCAGCAATGGCCAACTAGCATCCCATTCCGATACTGAGTATACAGTGTTCCCTCGCTATTTTGCGGTTCGCTTTTAGCGGACTCGCTGTTTCGCAGGTTTTTGAAAATATTAATTAAAAATATAAAATATTAAATATTTATGTCCAGTGGAGGCCAGGGACCTCGGAAGTGCGACGGCCTCAGGCGGGGAAGGCCTGCCTCTCTGGCCTGCTTCCGCCTGCATGGCTCGGAAGGCTTTGCCGGGGTCTGCAGAGGCCAGGGAGGGAGGGACGGAGGGAGGCACCCTTGGGATTTGCCTGGGAGGTGGGTAAGGAAGTGCAGGTAAGAAAATAAAATAATATAATATATAATAATGTATAAATATTAACATTTATATGGCATCCCTACTTCACGGATTTTCACTTATCACGGGTGGTCCTGGACCGGAACCCCTGCTATAAGTCAGGGAACACTGTACTTTGTCTTCCTCAAGTTGTTTGTAAGGTTCAATATGTGTGTATACAGACAGTTTGTTTCTAAAGTTTTATAGTGTGTCCTTGGAGTTTGGTTCCAAGACTCCCATAGATAACAAAATCCATGGCTGCTCAAGTCCCATGATGTACAAGGGTATATAGTAAAAGGGTGACTCTTACATATATAAAATGGCAAAATCAAGTTTTTACTTTTGGGGAAAAAATTGGAGTCGGAAATATTTACAACCTGTGGCTGGTTGAATGCATGAGTACAGAATCCATGAATATGGAGGGCAGACTGTGTTTACGTTTGTATTGACTGTATTTATTCCCAGGTTACTTCAAGCCAAAGGAAATTTCCCTCTTGGCTGACTATACTAGCTGGGAGGGTCTGGGATTTGCAGTTTCAAAAAATAACTTTTCCAATCTTTCAATTATGGCAACAAAAACAGTAATACCTGGGAGTTAATTTGTGGTTAGTGCGCAGAAAAGTATTCTGACTTGTTTGCCATGACTGTTCTTTACTATTCTGTCTTGAGTATAGTGTAGTGTTTTCCAGCTGGCTTCCTAATTCTGAGTTTGTCAATACGAATTGCATTCAATTGCTTTGAATGCAATTTTCCTACTTCTTGGCAGGGGGTTGGACTGGATGGCCCATGAGGTCTCTTCCAACTCTATGATTCTATGATTTTAAGAGACTCCTTTGAAAGTGCCATTGCAAACTTCAGGGAAGTTAATTCACTGTCCCTTGGACATCAGCTTTAATTGGAAAATGGAGATGTAAACATTAAAGGCAAAACTACTGTGCATCTTAAGCAAACTTAAAATACTAAAGTGGATTTTCATCCTAATCATTGGTGGCACAAGTCATAATTCAGTGGTATAATGATGCCTGGAAGACTTCAGATTCTGATCTTAGCAACTCTGATAGAAAGCTGCTGAACTTTGACTGGCAAAGATAGAGGGTGTATCTACACCATAGAACCGTAGTTCTTAACCTGTAGGCCGTGGACCACCAGTGAGCTGTGAGGATGAAAATCTGGTCCGCGAGACTCCTTCCTCTTTATTTATTTATCATATATTATTTATTTTATTTCTTCTCCTTTCGCACAGCCTGCCACTCCTTCCCTGTCGCTGACCATGGCTGAATCAGAAACTAGAGCTGATGTGGTCTATCCAATGTAATTTTCTAACTCAACACCCCAAACCGAATCTAAAGTTGACCAAAAACTGATTCGTAATCTTTTTAGTAGTAATGTTGGAGAGTGGTCTCTGAGCATAGTGGTCCCAGGGATCCTGGGAGGTGTAGTTTGGTGAGGCACTTGCACTCTGCCACAGAAGGCTAGAAGCCTTGTAATACTACAACTCCCATTATCCCTTAACATTGAGCCATGGCAATTAAGGTGGTGTCAAACTATGTTTCTATCAGATCAAGTCCAAATAGACCAGGAACCATTGCATGCCACCAGGGGCGGCTCAACCCATTATGCAAAGTAAGCATTTGCAGTATAGTTGATTTTGCCCAGGGGCACTCTTGGGGGAGAATAGACCTTGACATATGTGAGTTGTAGTTACTGGGATGTATAGTTCACCTACAATCAAAGAGCATTCTGAATTCCACCAATGATGGAATTGAACCAAATATGGCACACAGAACTCCCACGACGAACAGAAAATATATATCAGTGATTGGTTGGGGGGGGGGGGGGGCAAAATACTGTTTGCTTACCGTTGAAAATTACCTATGGCCACCCCTGCATACCATGCTGTAGAACTATGAAATCCTATGGTTTGCATTTTGGTGGTAAACTAGAGTTTTCTGGCTAAGAATTTCACATGCCTTTCGCTAAACTGTAAACCTGAGAGTCCTATAGGAAACTTTCAAGGAAAAAGTAGAGTCATGATACTATAATTACTGCAGAACGGCCTTAGGGATGAGCAGATCAGAAGACAGATCTGGAACTACTGGTAAATATCTGGGTGATTCCATAACAGATCAGCAAGTATTTTTTATTCTCGGTTATTTAACCAGCGTCAGCATAATGACTGATCTCCACACACATACACAACTAGATTGCTGAACTTATGAAAGCTTGGCAGTAATGAACAGTGGAGTTTTGAAAAAAAAGAATGTGAACTCCATTCAATTTCGGTACTCTGAATTGCTATGGAAATATGGTGAGGTATTGTTAGACTGATATGCTCATCAGCCCAGAGTCGCCCAATGGGTCCCATGGTTCAGCTGGGGTTCAAACCCTGGTCTCTAGAGTCATAGCCCATCAATTAAACCACACTGGCTTTCTCACTATGCAACCAATCTCTCTTTTTGAGGAGTTGTAGGTTTTTTCAGGCTATATGGCCATGTTCTAGAGGCATTTCTCCTGATGTTTCACCTGCATCTATGGCAAGCATCCTCAGAGGTAGTGAGGTCTGTTGGAACTAGGAAAATGGGTTTATATATCTGTGGAATGACCAGGGTGGGACAAAGGACTCTTGTCTGCTGGAGCTAGGTGTGAATGTTTCAACTGACCACCTTGATTAGCATATAATGGCCTGACAGTGCCTGGAGCAAACTTTTGTTGAGAGGTGATTAGATGTCCTTGTTTGTTTCCTCTCTTGTTGTGCTGTTGTAATTTTAGAGGTTTTTTTTAATACTGGTAGCCAGATTTTGTTCATTTTCATGGTTTCCTCCTTTCTGTTGAAATTGTCCACATGCTTGTGATGAGGAAACCATGAAAATGAACAAAATCTGGCTACCAGTATTAAAAAAACTCTAAAATTAGAACAGCACAACAACAGAGAGGAAACAAACAAGGACATCTAATCACCTCTCAACAAAAGATTGCTCCAGGCACTGCCAGGCAATCAAATGCTAATCAAGGTGGTCAGTTGAAACATTCACACCTAGCTCCAGCAGACAAGAGTCCTTTGTCCACCCTGGTCATTCCACAGATATATAAACCCCTTTTTCCTACTTCCAACAGACCTCACTACCTCTGAGGATGCTTGCCATAGATGCAGGCGAAACGTCAGGAGAAATGCCTCTAGAACATGGCCATATAGCCCAAAAAAAAAACCTACAACAACCCAGTGATTCCGGCCATGAAAGCCTTCGACAATCACTCTTTTTGCTAGTTGTTGTTGTATCCAGAGCTGCTTATTGCATTACTTTGGGGGCTGTTTGCAGAGACTTTTTGAACATGAATTGTAGGTTTCCCAGAGGTCTGTTTAAACTGGGGTATGGTTTCCTGAAGTAGTCCTATTGATTAAAGGGTGAATTTTAATTAAATTATGTTAATTTAATGTATTTTAATGAAATTATGTAACTTTCTTAGAACATTTTGAAACATGTGAGTAGTGCTAGAATACTCCATAAAAATCTTCATGTTCTCTCATAGTAAGAAGCAAAGTAGCAAATTATTCATCTGTGTACATGAGGATGAGATGTGTAAAGATTTAATCCCCAATGAATTTAGGATTAAGATGTTTAAGACTGTTAATTAATATGCTAATTATTAATTAACCTGAAAATGTTTAGGTGAAACTGTATGGAGCAGAGGACAAGCCAATAAATTTAAATGTCATGTTTTGGGATAGCAGCTCCCAGAATCCTCCGGGTGGGAATTGCAATCCAAACTCCCTTGATCAAGATGGTTATTTATTTGTTTGTTTGTTTGTTTGTTTCGGTTTCTTCTACCCCGCCCTTCTCACCCCGAAGGGGACTCAGGGCGGCTTACAAAGGCACAATTCAATGCCAGCATCACATAACAATAGTAAAACAAAATAACATCAATTAAACAGTTAAACAACAATTCCGGCATTACAGCCATAAAACCAATAAAACAATACAAATCCATTTACTCCTTATAGACGGTCAGCGTTCGCTATCTCACAGTTCAAATTCCAATTCCACATTGTCAGTCCTGTCAGTCCTAGTCGTTTGATTGTCCTTATCTAGTTGTCAGATTGCCCAAAGGCCTGGTCCCACAACCACGTCTTTACTTTCCTCCTGAAGGAGAGGAGGGATGTTGATGCCCTAATTTCTCCCGGGAGTGAGTTCCACAGGTGAGGGGCCACCACAGAGAAGGCCCTGCTCCTCGTCCCCACCAACCTCACTTGTGACAGCGGTGGGGTCGAGAGCAGGGCCTCCCCAGATGATCTCAGACTACGGGGTGGGACATAGAGGGAGATACGTTTGGACAGATACACTGGACCGGAACCGTACAGGGTTTTGTAGGTCAAAACCAGCACCTTGAATTGTGCTCGGAACTGAACTGGCAGCCAGTGGAGCTGACACAGCAGGGGGGTGGTGTGCTCCCTGTATGACGCTCCGGTGAGTAGTCTGGCTGCCGCTCGCTGGACCAGTTAAAGTTCCCAAACAGTCTTCAAGGGCAACCCCACATAGAGTGTGTTGCAGTAGTCTATTCGGGATGTAACAAGAGCATGGACCAATCTAAACACCAAAATCCATCCTGGAACATTATAGCAACGAGAACATACATACATCTTGGTCTACAGAGGACGGTACTGCTTCAAACTGCAGATGATGGTGGGGAATCACACAAAGCCCCTTTAATCCTCCCTAAAATGTTCTGTGAATTGATACAGATAGATCGCATAGTAATCTTAGAGAGGGTTGCCAAGAGAAATTTTTCAAGGTGAAGCTTTCGAGACCTGTACTGGGATCAGCTCCCAATAAAAGGTTCTAGCAAAAAACCAAGAAAATACCTGAAGAGCTACATGTTTTGATAAGCTCTGTAAAATAATGCAATGGAAAAGTGCTAACAGATGTGTTTTTTTAAAGAGAGGGGCCATCAGAAATTAACAGAGTCCGTCCTTGGCCTTCTGGATCGAACTCCCACCCCTTGTAGGTCTTAAACCTCTTGTGTTTAACTTGCCTGGTGTCTCTGAGCTTGGAACGTTTCTGTAAACAAATAGCCTGCTCTTGTTTGAATTCTTGCCTGCCATTCAAAATGGTGCAGTCCTTAAGGAAATAGGTTTATCGCACCATGCGTGTTAGGTTTGGATTAGATTTTGGAAACCAGCTACACTATATGATATTATTCTATACTAGCTGTCCCCTGCCAGGCATTGCTGTGGCCCAATCTGGTGATCTGGAAAATAAAGTAAGGAAAAAGTGTTGGTTTGTAATATATGTGATGTCTTTATGCTTGTGAGTAAACAGTATTTTTTGTTGTTTCTTTGTCAGTGTTGATGTAGAGATTGTCTGGTTTGCCTACTCTGGAACATGCAACATATAATTGTCCTTCTTTAGGGTCCCTTTCAAATCTATGATACTATATCTGTGTGTGTGTGTGTGGAAACTCAGTATATTTATTTATTTATTTATTTATTTACAGCTTTTATATTCCGCCCTTCTCACCCCGCAGGGGACTCAGGGTGGATTACAGTGTACACATATATGGCAAACATTCAATGCCAATTTTTGACATACAAACATATACAGACATACACAGAGGCTATTTAACTTTTTCTGGCTGCCAGGGGAGCTGTCGCTTTCATCGTCCATCTGCGACGCTGATGAAGCACTTCCGCATTCCCGCATGCTTCCCCGCTGGAATGCTTTGCTGGAGTCTTCTTTATGGCCTCATAAATCAGTTAATTTAGCCTCCCCACACTTTAAGGTGGTACCTTATTTTCCTACTTGACAGATGCAACTGTCTTTCGGGTTGCAAAGGTCGACAACAGGCTACACACAATTGGTTGGAAACCCACTCCAACCCGGGCTGGCTTCGAACTCATGACCTTTTGGTCAGAGTGATCTTAATGCAGCTGACACTGAGTGAATGAATCATATACATCTATCTATATCTATGGCTGGATGACTCTTTGTCAAGATGGCTTTGTTTATGTTTTCTTGCCCTGGTGAAGAGAGTTGGATTGGATAGCCTTAAGTCAGTGTGTGGATGGCCTTAAGTCAGTATTTCTCAAACTAGGGATTGGGACCCCTGGGGGTGGTCGTGAGGGGCTGTCATAAGGGTTGCCAAAGACCACCAGAAAACACAGTATTTTCTGTTGGTCATAGTGGTTCCATCTGGGCCATTTGGCCCAATTCTATCGTCATCAGTGCTCTTTGATTGTAGGTGAACTATAAATCACAGTAGCTACAACTCCCAAATGTCTATTTTCCCCAAACTCCTTCTGTGTTCATATTTGGGCATATGGAATATTTGTGCTAAGTTTGGTCCAGATCCATCATTGTTTAAGTCCACAGTGCTCTCTGGATGTAGGTGACTACAACTCCCAAACTCAAGATCAATGCCTACCAAACCCTTCCAGAATTTTCTCTTGGTTGTGGGAGTCCTATGTACCAAGTTTGGTTCAATTCCTTCGTTGGTGGGGTTCAGAATGCACTTTGATTGTAGGTGAACTATAAATCCCAGCAATTACAACTCCCAAATGACAAAATCCATTTTTTGAGTGATGGTCACTCGTTGGCCTGATAGGTGTGTCGTGTCCAAATTTGGTGTCAATTTGTCCAGTGGTTTTTAAGTTATGTTAATCCCACAAACGAACATTACATTTTTATTTATATAGATTTCTCTTACAGTGACACACTTCAGTACATCAGCAACTTGCAGAAAAAACGTAAAGCAGAAGCAGAAAACCTATGGAACGAACCTGTGGACAGCACCCACATGGAGCGGGATGATGATCGTCAGCTGTTTACAATGCTGCAGAAGAGGTCAAAACTGCGCCGTGGATCAGAGGTCAGTCGCCTGGGCACATGGGACATTTTCATGTAGAAAAGTTAATTGTGCAAATGTCCCCTACACACCACCAAATAGAGCTGCGCATGTGCCTTTGTGCTACCGTCCCTACTTATGTCTCACTGCAAGGATCTTCACAGGCAAGAATTCTGACGATATCTTAAAACTGTAGTAAAATGATGATATAAGAGTGGAAACTGATACATGTGTAACTTCTTGTAGCTCTAACGAAAACAGGGATGGGAAGGATGTGGCCCTGACCTCAAATGATGGCTCTCAGCATTCCTTCCCATTGGTTATGTTGTTTAGGGCTTCTAGGAGCTGCAATGCAACAACAATGACTTCAAACTACAGGAAAGGGGATTCCACCTGAACGTTAGGATGAACTTCCTCACTGTAAGAGCTGTTCAGCAGTGGAACTCTCTGCCCCTGAGTGCGGTGTAGGCTCCTTCTTTGGAGGCTTTTAAACAGAGGCTGGATGGCCCTCTGTTAGAGGTGCTTTGAATGCAATTTCCCTGCTTCTTGGCAGGGGGGTGGACTGGATGGCCCATGACATCTCTTCCAATTCTGTGATTCTATGAGTCTATGATTTGAGGGGCCACACAATTCCCATAGCCAGTCTAATACTGGTGTTTAATATAGGGAAGGTATAATGGCTGGATTGCTCGATTCATGTCTTGTCAAGCTCATTATCACAGTCATAAGGGCTATAAGAGTTTAAAATTCAATTCAATGAATTCCATACCAAACACAGTGTGCTGTAAGATCCTGTGATTGCAATATATCCATAACCCTACAAAATTTGCATTGTTTAGCCTGCTTTCAGAATCTATACAGTGGATAGGTGAAGATATACAGTGTTCATAGAATCATAGAATCAAAGAGTTGGAAGAGACCTCATGGGCCATCCAGTCCAACCCCATTCTGCCAAGAAGCAGGAAATGCATTCAAAGCACCCCAGACAGATGGCCATCCAGCCTCTGCTTAAAAGCCTCCAAAGAAGGAGCCTCACCACACTCGGGCAGAAGTTCCACTGCTGAACAGCTCTCTCCATCAGGATTTTCTTCCTAATGTTCAGGTGGAATCTTCTTTTCTTGTAGTTTGAACCATTGTCTGCGTCCTAGTCTCCAGGGCAGCAGAAAACAAGCTTGCTCCCTCCTCCCTATGACTTCTTCTCACATATTATACATGGTTATCATGTCTCCTCTCAGCCTTCTCTTCTTCAGGCTTAGCATGCCCAGCTCTTTAAGCCGCTCCTCATAGGGCTTGTTCTCCAGACCCTTGATCATTTTAGTCGCCCTCCTCTGGACACATTCCAACTTGTCAATATCTCTCTTGAATTGTGGTGCCCAGAATTGGACACAATATTCCAGGTGTGGTCTAACCAAAGCAGAATAGAGGGGTAGCATTACTTCCCTAGATCTAGACACTATGCTCCTATTGATGCAGGCCAAAATCCCATTGGCTTTTTTGGCCGCCACATCACATTGTTGGCTCATGTTTAACTTGTTGTCCACGAGGACTCCAAGATCTTTTTCACACGTACTGCTCTCGAGCCAGGCGTCCCCCATTTTGTATCTTTGCATTTCGTTTTTCCTGCCAAAGTGGAGTATCTTGCATTTGTCACTGCATGTTGTCCCTCACTACTTCATGGTTCGCTTTTCGCGAACTCGCTGTTTTGCGGTTTTTCAAATAATATGAACTAAGATATACAATTAGTGAGGGAACATTGTATACCCGCTACCTGTGAGGACCCCCCATGCGGATTTAGTGATCGTAGTTAGTTAAAATCATCTCCTCCAACGCCATGTTTCCCAGCTCAACCACTGGAAGGTGAAGAAGTTGCATGTGAGCAGGGAAGGGGGGGGGAGGAGCCAGTGGAAAGTGTGGTGTGCGGGAGGGGGAAAGAGGAGAGGAAAGAGAAGGTAAATGGACTGAGTAAGTGAAAGAGAGGGGGGAAGGGGAGAGAGGAGTGGGCGGAGCCACTCATAGGAGAGGGCGGTCCTACACCTTACACATGCTGAGGCAGTACATATATAGCGCCCCTACTTCGTGGATTTTCACTTATCCCAGGTGGTCCTGGAACGTAACACCCACGATAAGTGAGGGAACACTTGTCACGATGCCAGGACTCTGCCTTATTCAGGTAGAGATGAACCAAGCAAATACCCAGTTTGTATCTAGCAGTTTAATTAAAACAGCACTTACTTTCTGGCTGTTTTAATAGTCCAACATATAAAACATAAAGATAGCGTTCAGCCACAGAATAAACAAAAACTGACTTTTGCAGGTTCAAGATAAGACCGTAGTCAAAAGTTCCAGTTCAGTGATCAAACGCCGAGAGTTCAATAAACAAAGTCCAGGGATCAAGAGTCTATACCAGTAGTTCTCATCCTGGGGTGCCCAGATGTTTTTGGCCTTCAGCTCCCAGAAATCCTAACAGCTGGTAAACTGGCTGGGATTTCTGGGAGTTGTAGGCCAAAACACCTGGGGACCCACAGGTTGAGAACCACTGGTCTATACTGTAGTCAAAAACCAGTCCAAAGATTCAAGGTTCCAGGATTCCAAAGGTACAGGAGACAGGTCAGGATACCAAAAATCCACAAACCTGGGAGAAAACCATCAGCATCTACCACCAAAATAAAACAGTACTTTCCTCCCAAAGATCAGTCCCAAGGCTAGCTCATTATATCCAGAAACACCCAGCTGCAGCCTATCTCTTGCATGCCTCCACCCTTAATTGCTTTCATCCATGAACTCTTACTTACAGATTACTCAATCCTTTAGAACTGAGACTTTCATTAACCCTTCCATCACCAACTACCATCAACTGCAGAACTTAATACATGACAACACTGTATCTCCAACTGTGTCCATTTACGGTATTTCTCACTGTTTCTCATTTCCACACAACATCCCACAAATATCGTTGTTTTATACAGGTTTATTCCCCAAACAGATCTTGACTGTCATGGATGTTTTGCAGTTCATTGTTTTTGTGTTCTCCCTTATCCTTACCAAGGGTTACCGACGTTTGAGTGTTGACATCATTGCCCAGCGGCAGATTCGTCAGAAGGTGAAAGACAGATGGAAGCATGTCCTGAATGCCTTAGGTATGATGTCCTTTATTTTTACTCTAAGGATTTCTAATACAACCAAAAAATAAATATATTAATATAACAGTTACCATTACTGATTTCCCACTGTTTCATTCTGATTAGCTTTCTTGTCAATTGGCATCAAGGGCATCGTTTTCAGCAAATGTCAATGGATTCGTTTTATTTTACAGCCCTGACAAATGCATTGCATTTAAATCTAAATGTCCCTCTTTTATCAAGCTGGGATTGTGTCTAAAAAACCATTTTACATCAAAACATGAGCATCTGGGCATAAAAATCCCAGTCTTATTTGAGACTGTGTGATCTTAGATGTTGCTGTTAAAATGTGACATCTAAATTACAGTTATTAAACACTGGAAACAGAATCTAAAACACAATAGGAAAATAAATGCATTCACAATCTGATAAGAGCTTTTACAATGTCACAAGTTTGTTTCCTAAATTCTTGATAAAATATGTGTAAAAACAAGCTGAGGTCATAGTTTTAAAGCTCTAAATAGGTTGGGAACAGGAAAAAGGTCCATTTCTTTCCACATGGGAATACACACAGTGCTTGAGAGTGCATCTGCAATGGACTTTTCCTGGGTGTCCTTGTCAGGAATGTGTGAAAAAAAATCTTATCTTATGTGTGGTCCCAAAACAAAATATTTTTATTTTTCCAGTTGTTTTAAGATTGTATTTGTTTGAAGTCTGGAATTTGTAATTTTTAAAGAATCAATCTGAAGTGTGTTGTTGTAGGTTTTTTTCGGGCTATATGGCCATGTTCTAGAGGCATTTCTCCTGACCTTTCGCCTGCATCTGTGGCAAGCATCCTCAGAGGTAGTGAGGTCTGTTGGAACTAGGAAAAAGGGTTTATATATCTGTGGAATGACCTGGATGGGACAAAGGACTATTGTCTGTTGGAGCTAGGTGTGAATGTTTCAACTGACCACCTTGATCAGCATTTGATTGCCTGGCAGTGCCTGGAGCAATCTTTTGTTGAGAGGTGATTAGATGTCCTTGTTTGTTTCCTCTCTGTTGTTGTGATGTCCTAATTTTAGAGTTTTTTTTAATACTGGTAGCCAGGCTTTGTTCATTTTCATGGTTTCCTCCTTTCTGTTGAAATTGTCCACATGCTTGTGGATTTCAATGGCTTCTCTGTGTAGTTTGACATGGTGGTTGTTGGAGTGGTCCAGCATTTCTGTGTTCTCAAATAATATGCTGTGTCCAGGTTGGTTCATGAGGTGCTCTGCTATGACTGACTTCTCTGGTTGAAGTAGTCTGCAGTGCCTTTCATGTTCCTTGATTCGTGTTTGGGCAATGCTGCATTTGATGGTCCCTATGTAGACTTGTCCACAGCTGCATCATATACGGTAGACTCCTGCAGATAATTTCAACAGAAAGTAGAAAAAAATTAGAACAGCACAACAACAGAGAGGAAACAAACAAGGATATCTAATCACCTCTCAACAAAAGATTGCTCCAGGCACTGCCAGTCAATCAAATGCTAATCAAGGTGGTCAGTTGAAACATTCACACCTAGCTCCAGCAGACAAGAGTCCTTTGTCCCACCCTGGTCATTCCACAGATATATAAACCCTTTTTTCCTAGTTCCAACAGACCTCACTACCTCTGAGGATGCTTGCCACAGATGCAGGCGAAACGTCAGGAGAAATGCCTCTAGAACATGGCCATATAGCCCGAAAAAAACCTACAACAACACACTTCAGATTGATTCTTTAAAAATTACAAATTCCAGACTTCAAACAAATACAATCTTAAAACAACTGGAAAAATAAAAATATTTTGTTTTGGGACCACACATAAGATAAGATTTTTTTCACACATTCCTGACAAGGACACCCAGGAAAAGTCCATTGCAGATGCACTCTCAAGCACTGTGTGTATTCCCATGTGGAAAGAAATGGACCTTTTTCCAACCTACAACAACCCAGTGATTCCAGCTATGAAAGCCTTCGACAATAATCTGAAGTGTGTTTAATTTTTTTAATTGTCCATGAGACACCTCATGCTAGTTTTGGATTCCTGAGTTGCCAAAGTGTTTGTGAAAATATAACATTTTTGAATTGCTGTGAGTGTTATGGGCTCTCTGGCCATGACCATACAGCCCGAAAACTTTACAGCAATCCAGTGATTCTGGCCATGAAAGCCTTTGACAACACATATAACATTTTTGCTTGCTAGATTAATGTTAGTTTGCACATTTATTATTTTCAAGGGAAGTAACTTTCCAACAGAATACAAATCATGTCTAAGAAAAATGGCAGAAGAACATTTTGGATAATGAACATTGAGGGTTAAATGATCACTTGTTAATGCAGGATTCAAAAACGAAGCAGATGGTCTTCTCACAGTCACCTCCGGCACGTCATACGAATCCCTCCGCAAGCCTCAAGAGGCCCGCAAGCTCCTCGGTGCCCTGGCTGAACAGACAACCATTTTTGGTCGTAACCGTGGTGCTGGCCCACCAGAGAGATACCTTTTTGTTCTTGTGAGTAGGAGAGAAAAGTTTGGGAAGTTAAAAACAACAGGCTGGGGGTTTTGAGAGCTGAAGTCCCAAAAAGGTTTTTTTTGCCAGCTCTGTTAAGTCAAGGCATAGCTGCCTCACCTGTGGTCCTGGGGACACATGCAACCCTTAGCTGCCCTCGATGTAGCCATTGAAACCACTGACATGGCCACTGCTGCTCATTGGCTTTCCAAATAATTTTTCCCCATAACTCCCCTTCTGATCTTCCAAAAACCATTATTTATTTGCTGCTAACAGCAACAAACTCACTCTATTTATTTATTTATTTACAGTATTTATATTCCGCCTTCTCACCCTGCAGGGGACTCAGAGCGGATTACAATGTACATATGCATAGCAAAAATTCAATGCCATAGACACACAACATATATAGACAGACACACAGAGGCTATTTAACTTTCCACCTTTCATGAGGGTATTCTGGCCACCAGGAGAGCTGTCGCTTCACCGTCCATTTGTGACACTGATTGAGTACTTTCTCATTCTTTGCTTGCTTGCTGGAGATTTTTATGGTGTTATAAATTAGTTAAACCAGCCTCTCCTCATAAGCGGTACCTAAATTTCCTACTTGACAGATGCAGCTGTCTTTCGGGCTACAAAGGTCGACAGCAAGCTACACAATGGTTGGAAGCTCACTCAATCAACCTACCCGCTTAAGCGGTACCTAAATTCCCTACTTGACAGATGCAACTGTCTTTCGGGCTGCAAAGTTCGACAGCAAGCTACACAATGGTTGGAAGCTCACTCCGAACCAGTGCTGGCTTCGAACTCATGACCTTTCGGTCAGTAGTGATCTTAATGCAGCTGACTCCCAGCCAGCTACGCTACAGTCCCGGTGCATATACATACCCCAAACCCTATATCTCACTGGATAAAAAAGAGAGAGGTTTATATGGGTGGGAAGATGGAAAAGGGATAATATGTACACACACACTTGTTCATGTACAATGACACTGAATCCTGCTCCTTGCCAGAAAAGATTGTGCTTTTGGGGCGGCCGGGGGGGGGGGCATAGTAAATGACCACATGTCCATATTTCTTTAATATTTTTCTCTACCCCACTCCCAAACCACCCCATCCTCCAATTCCAGGATAGACTCCTTCTACTGGATACAGGGGATGACTTTCTATCAGCAGCCCGCCATTTTTATCCCGTGGAAGAGGAAGAAGAGGATGACTCATCTTCCAGTGATGGAGGTCCTCCACCTCCTGGTCCTGTCTTAGTCAAATTGGGCAGTGAAGCTCAAGAAGAGGAAGAGGCTGAAGTGGAGGAAGAAGAAACAGAGGATGCTGATTTAGATGTTGATTTAGAATGAGATGGTGATATTTATATATAACACCCTTTCTACCAAAGGGCAGAACATCAACAAATACAATCAAGGACAAGGGCAGTAACAAGTAAGATTATAAATATGTATGAAATGAAATCCTCTATACCCCAACCCATCTTATGAGTCTCAAGCACAATTCAACAGTTTGATCTGGTGAATCAGAGATATCCAAACAAGATAATCAATTGATCTAAAACTCTGGAAAATCTGTGTATCATCTGCATAATTGTGATACTGAAAACCAAATAATAGGTATGGATAGAGTCACGCTGGATAACTCGTTCATAATAATTTCGTTAAAATTACCTTTTTGAAGTGATATCAAAGCTTTTTAAAAAACTGGAAATCCCTTTGCCCTTCCGAAGCGTTTTCTGCCATTTTTTATTCAGCTTTTCCCCACTTCTGATCTCTGGCCTTGGCTCAAGCCAGAGAAGTTGGTTTTAAAGCCAGAGAAGCCAGTTTTAAACCAGAGAAGGAAGGAATTTTCTCCGCTTGCTTTTCCCTGCTTCTGGTTCCTGGCCTCAGCTCAAGCCAGAGAAGCCAGTTTTAAACCAGAGAAGGAAGGAATTTCCTCCACTTTCTTTTCCTCACTTCTGGTCCCTGGCCTCGGCTCAAGCCAGAGAACCCCATTTTAAAGCCAGAGGAGCCAGTTTTAAACCAGAGAAGGAAGGAATTTCCTGGCCTTGGCTCAAGCCAGAGAAGCCCATTTTAAAGCCAGAGAATCTATTTTTAAACCAGAGAAGGAAGGAATTTCCTCCGCTTGCTTTTCCCCGCTTTTGGAGTAAAACAACTACTTTCAAAGTAAAAACCACCCAATGAAACAGGAAATAACACTTTCAAACCATTAATGGAAGGATTCAGAAGTCTTGGAAGTTTCAAAAAAATTGTAAAAAGTTTTTCTGTGAAAATCAGAATTGAACCACCAGTGCCCCTACATCCGAAACGATTTTTGAACCATTTTTTTCTCAACCAAGCCTACCAAACACTAAAAGAAATCCAAGCAAGAGGGTATATAATGAAAAGCCCCTGAACTAATCCTGTGACACATCTACAGTTAAAGGACACATTTTGACTTAGCTCCTCAAAATGAAACAGAAAAGGAGTAATCAAACAAAAAAGATTTAAACATTTAAGCATTCCCCATAATTCGTAATTATGCCAACCATAATAGCAGGAATTGATGGTCCAAAATGTCAAAGGCTGCAGAAAGATCTAACAGGAACAATGAAAATTTTGACACTGAGCCTTTGCCACTAGAATATCATTTACTTCATGATACTTCATGAGTTTACTTCATGATACTTCATGAGTTTACTTCATGATACTTCATGAGTTTACTTCATGATACTTCATGAGTTTACTTCATGATACTTCATGAGTTTACTTCATGATACTTCATGAGTTAAGGCTGCTTCAGTGAAGTGATGTGAACAAAACCCTGATTGAAATGGTACAAGAAGATCATAAGACATCAATTTGAAAAGGGCAGCTCTTTCCAATATTTAAGAAAAAAAAGTAGAGAAGAGACTCAGGACAACAATTAGCACAAACTGAAGGATCCAGAGATTTATTTAAAAGTAGACACAAGCAAAACAAGAGGAACTTGAGGGTACA